GGGCAGTCCCGTCCCCGCACCTGTGCCCACCCTCCTCCCCTCTGCCTGCAGGCCCACCTGGCCCGCTGGTGCTGGCAGTCTGAAGCAAAGCGCCTGCCCTTTGGTTCTCGCACCCGTTAAATGCGCCCCGAGACGCAATCGGACCCTCCAACACCCAGACCTGCGGGGAGCGCTGGGGATCTGCTGGGCTCTTCCCTGCAGGGGACGCTGCCCTGGGTGCTGTCCTCTCCGGGCCCATCTGTGAGTCAGCTCTCAGGGGCCCCCTTGTGGCAGCAAAGGAATCAGGTTATGTTAGAACAAAAGAAAGAGACAAACAACAAAAAGCGGGCCTCAGCCTTTCAGACCCCAGGCAGGAGCAGCGCGCAGGCCCTGAGAAGTCGCCTGTCCTCAGTCTGTGCCCCTCCCCAGCCCCCTCTTCCGTCCGTGGCGGAGGCCATGATACGGCCCTGCCTGGACCCCGCAGCACCACCGGCACCCACCCCGGCTCTGCAGCGATGGCCGTGGTCATGGAGCCAGGATGGCCTCCGGTTTGGGGCATCGTGAGGGGCCCTGCACAAATGCCACCTCCCGGGCACCTGGGGCGGGGGTCAGCTGGGCTCGGCACGGTTAGCAGGACGGGGCGAAAAGCACAGGCCAGCGGCGACACCCCTGGTTTCCACATTGCCTCTCTGTTTGGGCCTCAGCTTCCTCAGCTGTCAAGCAGCCTGACGTCACCATCAGCCCTGAAACTGATTGTCTGACCAAAATGGAACCTGGGACTCTGCCACCCAGACTGGCTTTCCTCTGGCCCTTCCGTTTCTGACTCTTCACATTGTCTCCTGGTTGGCGATTCCCCAACGTCACCTTCCCTGCGCCCCACTCAGTGCCACCGTCACACACTCCCTGTCACGGCTGGTATTGGCACCACCTCCACGGCCTCTGCTCTGCCCACCGCCTGTGTCGGCCAGCACTGCCCTCCCCGGGTCCCCATCCCCAAGCCCACTCCACCCGCCCGCATCTACCTCTGCACACCCAGGACCTGGCCTGCTCTCCTGGCCTCACCCCTCCCCTGCCCCTCGCCCGTCCTCCCCCCTTGCCCTGCTCGTCTGGAAAAATCCTGTTAAGACCTCTGGGTCTGCAAGGACTTCCCCTCATGGTTTGCTCCACCGTTCACTGAATTTCCTGCTCGGCTGTCCCGTCCTCAGAGACAGCCGTCAGGTGTAAAATGTCATCTCCCACTTCCTGACCCGGGCCCTGGTTTAATTTCTTCCTAGACCTTGCCCCCTGAAATGGCCTGCTCACTTGTTTGCTTGTTGTGGTCTGGGGCCCAGGGGCCAAAGCTATAAAGAGGACGGCTCGGAAGGGAGCCCCAGAGGCCGACAGGCACGTGGTCGCCGCTCACTCACCGTGTTAAATGAAAAACATTAAGGTCAGAGTCACGTTGGCTTCTAAGAGCAGGGAGGGCCCGGGGGCCTGTTCTGGGCCTGGTAATCATCTCTCCCTGGCCCTGGATACGGTCGCACGCTGTGCGTTTACAGCTACTGCACACAGTGGCTGCCGGGGGCTCCCGGGCCAGGGCCTGGGTCTCCGTGATGCGATGCTGACGCTCAGTCTCGGGGTCCCACATGCTTAGGGAGTCAATGCTGTAGTCCTTGCCCGTGGACACCCAGGAAGCGAGCCGCCTGCTTCTCGGGTGTCCACCAAAGCACCCCGGTTTCCTGGTGCAGACCCAGCCCCTGCGTGGGCCTCACTCACACCTACTTCAAGGCAGGAAGAATTACCTGCGTGTCTCAGGCCATCAGCTTAGTTTGACTCAAGGGAGCAAGCGCACCAGAAGGTGTGAGCCTCAGGTGACAATGACACCAAGCAACCGGTGTAGGATAACAAAGGCTGACGGCCCTCCCTGTGGAAGGCCTGGGAGGAGGAGCTCATAGTGCATTTGTTCTCTAAAGGGCAGAACATTCTGGAACACACTGGAAAAGGAAGCTCACGGGGAAGCTGTTACCCTAACTGGCTGCGTAATATGGAGGGGCCCCCCAGGGAGGGAGACCAGGTGAGCCCGCCCCTCCTCCCTGGCTCTGTCTCTGGGGGCTGCCAGGACCAGCCCTGCTCTAATCTGGCCCGTGGCTCCCACTGTAAGTCTGTGCCAGTGTCATGGGCACATGACCAGTGCAGTCACATGGGACCCTGTGCTCAGAGGGCCCCGTGCTTGGGGCTGAATGCTCTGCAGTCGCCAGTTGAAATTCTGAATAATGTCATCCCTGCCTTTGTGGTTTGTCAGTGAAGCTGGTGGGACAGCGAAGGGGGTGTCGGGGACCGGAGCCGAGGCCCCCCTCCTGTGACCCCTCCTCCTACCGCCTCCTACAGCAGAAGACAGGAAAGCATTTTGTATTTCAGAACCCTGAACAGCACCTCTTCCTGCTTTTGAAGGAGGGGCTCCTGTTTGCATCTGGCACAGGATCCCGGTTGGAGAAGCGGAGGCCTGCGGCTCAGCCAGCCTGCGGCTCAGCCCAGGCTCCTTGGGGACAGTCCCCACCACACACTGTGGGCAATCCACAGCAGCCCCCGCATGCCTGCGCCAGCCTCCGTCTGCTCTCCCTGCAGCAACCCCCAGCCACACGGCCACGCGGCCACATGGCTCCCTCTGTGCCGGTCCTCCAAGTGTGGTCCGGGCCAGGTCAGTCCTGCGCTGCTCCAGCTCCCGGTCAGATACAGAGACTGAGCGAGCATTCACCAGCTTCTGCCCTGACTTGGCCGAGTGGTTTTATGCCGATAGAATCTGACAATAAGCCATTAGGACTTGTGTTTCTTTCCAGTTATTTTTTCTAGTAATTTTGTTTCCTTGGATTTTGCAGCTGCGATTGCAGGGGTGGTCCTGGTGTTTGACTTTGAGGGGCTTGTTTGTGCGGCTTCTTCGCTTTGTGACTGTGGTCCCACCCTGGTTCTGTCACAGCCCCTTCACCAGCCTGCATCTCAATCATCCTGGCACTTTGTGTGGATCTGAATGGGGAAATCTCAGGCGCATACACATTCAGGAGAGGCAGTGCCATCTCCATACGAATGCAAGCGGCTGCGCCCTAGGGCTCTGCAGACGAGGCACCTCAGCGGCTGCTCTGGATCAGGCGAAGTGCAGTGTGTGTGTTTTTTTTAAATTTTGTTTTATTGCTTAAGGTATTACAAAGAGTAGTACATATGTCTCCTTTTTCCCCCTCTTGACCTTCCCCCGGCCTCCCCCACCCCCAGTGTCTGTGTCCATTGGTTATGCTTATATGCATGCATACAAATCCTTCGGGTGAGCTCTTAAACCACCCCTCCCGCCCCCACCCTCCCCGCTGTAGTCTGACAGTCTGTTTGATGCTGCTCTGCCTCTGTATCTATTTTTGTTCATCGGTTTATAATGGTCTTTATTATCCATAAATGAGTGAGATCATGTGGTGTTTTTCCTTCAGTGACTGGCTTATTTCACTTAGCATAATGCTCTCCAGTTCCATCCATGCTGTTGTAAATGGTAAGAATTCCTTCTTTTTTACAGCAGCATAGTATTCCATCCTGTAGATGTACCACAGTTTTCTAATCCATTCATCTGCTGATGGGCACTTAGGCTGTTTCCAGATCTTTGCTATGGTGAATTGTGCTGCTATGAACATAGGGATGCATATATCCTTTCTGATTGGTGTTTCTGGTTTCCTGGGATATATTCTTAGCAGTGGGATCACAGGGTCAAATGGGAGTTCCATTTTTAACTTTCTGAGGAAACTCCATACTGTCTTCCATAGTGGCTGCACCAGTCTGCATTCCCACCAGTAGTGCACGAGTGTTCCTTTTTCTCCGCATCCTCTCCAGCACTTGTCCTTTGTTGATTATTCGCAGTGTATTTTTATATTCAAATCATACACCTTCTCCCTAAAAGTCGTGATGAAATCTTCCCGTCATGGATGGAGAATGTGTTTCCGCTGACCTGCTTTAACACTTGGCTGTGGGTCCTCATTTTCAAAAAGGGCAGGCTCTCCATTTCTAAAGGCCTCCCTTCCTCCGTGGCTCTGGAAGACCGTCCTCAATGCCTGTCCCTGAGCTGGGAGGCCAACCGCGGCCTCAGCCGCCTGTCACTCCACTCCAGATGGTGCTGCTCTTGGGAAGGTGCAAACAGGAAGTGGGTCCACTTAACACCTGACCTCGGCCTTTGATGAGGTCAGAGAGACTTGAAAAGAATTCTCTGTGCATTACTGAGTGGCCCTTTGTTTATTCAATTTAATTCAAAAGTGAGCACTGAGGACAGAGGTAGTGAGCAGGGGGCTGCAGCCACAGGGGCACGGACCAGCGCTGCCACCTTGACCCTTGTGGGCAGGGCCCGGAGGGGCAGCCGAAAGCCAGGGACAGGGACCCAGGAAAAGGAAGCTGCTGGAGGTGGACAAACACAGGATGGAAGAGAGAAAGAGACCTGTGCGCTGAGTGAACGGCGTGTGAAGCTGTGTATAACCCACTTGGAGTTTGTGGAACTTTTTAGTTGGAAGAAACCCGTTAAACGTGGCAGTAACTTCTGTTATGAAAAAGCTAGCCGGCCTGTGAGGACAGGGCCATTCAGAAGACCTTCATCAGGCCTGGCTCTTCTCTGACCCTTGTGGGAATGACGATAGTGACCTTGACCTTGGTGGTGACCTTGACCTGCTCCGAGCACCGCCCTTCACGCTGTGAAGGGGCAGCGGGGAGTGCTATCCACGCATCCTCCTGAGGGACATGTGCGTCACGCAGACTTGGAAGATGCCTGTGTAGGAAGGTCTGAAAGCCTGCACTCCCGTGTGCGACTTCAAGGGCAGCCCGCTCCTCCCCTGTGTGACATTTCACAGTCAAGGACAAATCGTGGCATATGCCTTCAATTGCATGACTTACAAAACATCCTGTATTTGAAGGAAGCTCGGCCTGCTCCCCAGCAGGGTGGCCCTTCTCTGCTGGAACAGAAAACCAGGAACACGCAGTTCTATTGGGAAGTGAGCAGGAACAATCACCATTCTGATTGAGTTTTTTAAAAAAACATTTTATTTCAAAGGGTAGATAAGGGTTTTGCTAGGCAACAACCGAGAGAACAGTGGCCACGGAACAATCAGCCTGTCTTAATAAATAACAAATGCCTGTGAGCCAGGCTCCACAGCACAGCGCACACTCTAAATAAATAAACCGCCGTCCCAGGTGTCGGCCTGTGGGGAGCGAACACACTCTGCACTGGGACCAGCCACTGCCAGTGCCTCCCCCCTCAGCCCTCAGGCCCCTGCCCTGTCTTCCCAGACCCCACAGGGGCCCAGCAGTGTCAGGGCCCAGAGCTGGGATGACGGGAATCCCGGGGGCCCTGGGGCTGGCATTCCTGGTGCCCCTTCCTCGCTGCTCTGTCTCACAGTGGCTGTCAGGTGGGCACAGAGAGGAAGTGCCAGCAGTCCTGCTCCGTGGGTCTGACTCAGTTGCGAGGCTCCGTCACTGGGAAGGGGCTGCTTGCTGGCTGCCTCCTCCCTTGTGCTGCTGGAGCCGACTGTCTTCCAGGAGTGTCCTTAGAGCATTCTACGCCGAAATACCTGAGAGACAGGGCACCTGAGTGTCCCGCAGCCCGCAGCCCGTGCCAGGTGCCCTCAGGCTCCACATGGCCATGGCACCTCCTCACTGCGGTCCCCGAGAGCCAGGCCCGTCTGAAACAGCGCCGGGGAGTTCTCAAGGTGGCTTTTGTGTCTTCTCCAGGTGCATGTGCAAAAGGCAGGAGTAAGTCATTCTTTTCAACACAGGATCCTTTATTTGAACTTTTCCTTGAAAGACAGTTTATGGATGGGCCTGGCGTCTCTCTGCAGGACTGAGTGGTCAGTGTTCCTTAAACCTGAAAGGAAAGGGTGAAATAGCAGCTGGTCACACAGACATGGGATGGGGGTCGGAGGACAGATGCCCCTGGCCCTGCACAAGCCCCTTGGAGGGAGTGCCAGCTTCCCTCCCCTCTGCGGGGGGTTGGGGGGGATTCCTGCCCAGCCCTGCCCCACCCCACAGCCTTGGGGACCAAAGGGAGAGCGGAGACAGGAAGGGGGCAGGGGCCGGCTGAGCTCTGGCTGCCACCTGAGAACAAGAGCCCAGCTCCCTGAGAACAAAGGAGGCCGTCTCCCGTCCCCCCCGTCTTTCACTCAGATCTTGAGGGGAGGTGACCAGGATCGATCCACACCAGCCATTTATGGGCAAAGGAAAAGGAGAGCTAGTGAGATGTGGGATGAAGGGAAGCGAGGAGTTGTCTTTCTTCTGTGAGAGCAGCCAGGTGTGGGCGGCAGATAAGCCACAGTGACGTCTGAAGCAGCAGCGCTGTAATCACAGGGAGGAGGGGCGGGGGGACTTACGGAACTTGATCCCCTGCCGCTGACCCTGGGCAGCTCAGCTCCTTGTGTATGAGGCGGATCAGGAACTGCACCCAAACAAAGACAAGACCACGGTCACTGCCACGGAGACCCCGAGAGCCGAGACCCCGAGCGCTGCCCTGCCCCCACTGGAGCCGGCCTTCTTCCCAGCACATGCCAGCGTCTGCCCCGGACACTTCGTCAGAACATAAAGGCCCCGAGGCCTGCGCACAGGCAGCGGAAGCCCCAGCCACGGCTGCTGCTTACGAATCCCTGTGGAGGACGCGCTGCTGGAAATGAGGCTGCAGGAGAGAGTTCAGCCAGAGGGACTCCAGGTGCAAGTCATGTTTAAAATGAAGTGAGTCCAGTCATAAAATGTCCCAGTGGGAAAAGACAGAAAGACAAGGTGACCCACAACCACGTGACACAGGGGGACTGGAGAGCCGCGCAGGGGGCTCAGAGCCAGGCGAGCCTTCAGCACGCGCTCTGGCGGCTGAGGCGGTCGTCCTGGGCACAGCCTGGCGGTGGGACTTGGCGCTCGCTGCCCGCCCCGCAGCCCCCAGGCGCTGCTGATGCTGCCGGGTAAACCGAGGACAGCCCAGCCTTCGCCTTGGCGAGCTCTTCGCCTTCATGATCTTTCTCATGCTGAGAGGGCTCAGAACCAGCTCCCAAGTCCAGCCTGAGGACCAAGCACCGCCTGAATTTAACTGGTTTTCTTTGTGGGTCTCCAGTCTTCCCCCAAGTATGACGCCAGCCCCAGAAGAGCTCGCGGCCCACAGTGGGCAGTGCCCTGGGGCTCTGAACGGGTCCCTGAGGGCTGTCTGGTTCTGGGACGTGTGCCAGTGGGAGAAGACAGCGGGCGCTGGGGGAGGGTTTGGAGGGACGGCGTGAAACCCACGCAGCCACACAGGACCCAGGACCGAGCCTCAGCCAGAACCTCAGCCAGAACCCCGAGGGAGGAACGTTCGTCTCCTTGGAGGCTTCAGGTTCAAGTGGGAGCTTAGAAGTCCCTGGAATGTACAGACTAGAGAGAAGGGGCATTTTCTGACATCAATTCTACCAAGTTCCAAGGGGAGAAGTGTGGGCAGGAAGCAGCCTGTGATTATAACAAGCAGGTCACTGAGAGGAAGGGAAACAGAAGGAAAATACTTGCTGTTTGTGTCGGACAAGCCCTCAATAGTGGCGACAATTCTGAAGGACAGAGCTCCACCTCTGAAGCACGAGGAAAGTTCCGGCCTGTGCGCACCCCTCCCAGCAGGGAGGCCCCGCCAGCCTGGCTGTTGTATGCCCCGCAGAGGGGTGGCTGGTGGATGTGAGAGCCCGGTCGCCCGTCTGACCACACGCCATGGGCAGTCCCCCTGGCCTGCAGGTGACCGGGCCGGGAGCCTCAGGGGGGCCTGCACTTTGCCTCTCTGCATGGGCCTGCAGCACCTGCAGCAGACGGGCCGCTTCTGCTGCTGCCCTTTGTTTAAACCAGGGAGAGGAAGGGTCTCGGGCAGCGACATTTAGAGAAGTGAGGACACGCCCCAGGCCCAGCGTCCCTGAGAGCTGCCGGAGCCCTCGGGGAAGGTGTCACACGGAGACTCACGAAAGGCTGCTTGACAAGGAGCCACAGACTTACCAGTAAGGCACAGGCATCTGCAAACATCAGCATGTAGAACACGTTGTTCCATCCCGACGGGGAGATGAGCCCGGCCAGCAGAGGGCCCAGGGCCGCTCCTGAAATGAGGCAAGTGGGCACGCTCTGCGTGAGGATGGTCTGGGGCGGGACTGTCTGCAGTACCAGAGCGGGGCTCAGACCCTCACTAATAACTAAGCAAAAGCATGAAAACAGCAGCGTCGCTGCCTCACCTGTCAGAGTGGTGAGGGGTGAGAAGCTGAATTATATTCAGTCCTGCCCAGGGCACGATGGGAAAACCTTTTTCTAGACGCAAATCTAAAATATGTATTGTCGGAGCAACTAAGATGGCGGCATAGGTAAACACCGGGAAATTGTCGCCTCACACAACAATTGAAAATTACCGCAAAGGACTGAGCAAACATCATCCAGAACAACAGGAAGGCTGGCTGAGTGTAAAGTCCACAACTAGAAGGAAAGAAAAGCACGCTGAGAGCCAGAGGCGCTGTGGAGGTGAAGTGCAGAGGTACGGCGGCGCGCGCGCGCGCGCGAGGAAAGGGGGTAGCACCTGAGGACGCGGCTGACTTTTTGAGTCACAAGCTCCTGACTGCTCTGAACTCCGGTTCCGGGAAGTCTCTGGGGACCCAGGACTCATACGGGGAGAGGCTGGTCTGTCCGGCAGCGAGCGAACTTGAGGGCGGCTTTCCCTCAGAGGTGCTTGCAGCCGTTACCGGAACACTGAGACGTGCGACTCCGGGCGGAGAATCGGCCATGGCTGCTTTCTCCGCCCTCTGACTCCCTGAGACCCCGCCCCACCCAGGCTGCGGCAGAGGCTTTTGCATGTGAATGTACCTAACTGCAGCCGAACCAGGCAGACCTGGAACTTCCAAGAGAAGGCCCAAGGCCCCGCAGCGGCTTGCATTGCTTCACAGCTGAGCCTCTTCGTGGCTCCTGCTGTGTGGCCTCAGGCAGAGGCTGCATTAGCACCTCCTTAGATCCAGGAGCCACTGTACCCAGTGGTCAGAGGGGGTCCATCCAGACTGCAACTCCTCAGATCCATAAGGGATGCACTCAGGGAGCAGACTCAGTGAGCACCAAAGCCCCACTGAAGCAAGTCTTGCCCCAGAAGGGTGTCTTCAGCACAGAAGTTCTCCCACTTTAGACACAGCTGATTCTCACAGCCAATTGGCCTGGAGGTCAATTCCTCCCAGTGATTCTACAACAACCAAGGCACCAAGAGTGCACCAAGAGTGTCCACCCCAGGTAACTGGGGAGGCTGAGCTACTGGGCCCTACAGGACACCTGGCGCACAGGGCCACTCTATCAACACAGGGAAGCTGCCAAAATGCGGAGACAAAGAAACAGGTCACAAATGGCAGAAATGGAGGAAAGCAAACGATTGGAAATAGAGTTTAAGGCCACGGTTATAAGGTTTTTCAAGAATTTTATGGAAACCGCCGATAAATTTAATGAATCCCTCAATAAGTATAGGGAGACCATGGAGGACATGAAAAAGGACCAACTAGAAATTAAGCATACACTGACTGAAATAAAGAATAATTTACAGAGATCCAGCAGCAGAAAAGAGGATCCCAAGAATCAAGTCAAAGATTTGAAATACAAAGAAACAAAAAATACCCAACCGAAAAAGAAAAAAGAAAAGAGATTCCAAAAATATGAAGATAGTGTAAGGAACCTCTGGGACAACTTCAAGCGTACCAACATCAGAATTATAGGGGTACCAGAAGGAGAGAGAGGGCAAGATATTGAAAACCTTTTTGAAGAAATAATGACAGAAAACTTCCCCTACCTGGTGAAAGAAATGGACTTACAAGTCCAGGAAGCACAGAGAACCCCAAACAAAAGGAATCCAAGGAGGACCACACCAAGACACATCATAATTAAAATGCCAAGAGCAAAAGATAAAGAGAGAATCTTAAAAGCAGCAAGAGAAAGACAGTCAGTTACCTACAAGGGAGTACCCATATGACTGTCAGCTGATTTCTCAACAGAAACCATGCAGGCCAGAAGAGACTGGCAAGAAATATTCAAAGTGATGAATAGCAAGAACCTGCAACCAAGATTACTTTATCCAGCAAAGCTATCATTCAGAATAGAAGGTCAGATAAAGAGCTTCACGGATAAGAAAAAGCTAAAGGAGTTCATCACCACCAAACCAGCATTATATGAAATGCTGAAAGGTATTCTTTAAGAAGAGGAAGAAGAAAAAGGAACTCTTACCATTTGCCACAGCATGGATGGAACTTGAGAGCAGATAAATACCACAGGATCTCACTCATTTGTGGAATATAATGAACAACATAAGCTGATGAACAAGGACTGATCCAGAGACGGAGAGGCATTGATTGGACTGTCGGGACTTGGAGGGAAGGTAGGGGAGGGTGGGGGTAAGGGGGAAAGATCAACCAAAGGACTTATATGCAAGCATATAGGCCCAATCAATGGACATGGACAACGGGGGGGTGAGGGCATGAGCAGGGGTGGGGGGGGGTGGGGGGTAGAGGGTAACGTGGGGACAAGGACACATATGTAATATCTTAATCAATAAAAAAATATATTAAAAAAAAGAAAATAAAATATGTATTGTCATTAAAATGTTCTTTTGATCCAATAATCCTATTGAAACATTTTATAATAAAGAAATCTGAGTCTAATGCTATAAAAATACCATTTGGAGAAATGTAAGGTGCGTAGATAATAAGACAGTATCAATGCTAGTTTCCTGATTCTGATCACTGTTCTGAGGTCACGTCAGGGAGTTCCCTATTTCGGGGAATACATACTGACTACATAGCTGCTGGTGAAGGGGCAGCATGAATGCAGTTTACTCTTAAGAGGTTCAGAAAAAATATGCTTATGTGTCCATAAGTGTACATGTGTGTGGGTAGGTGCATGTTATAAGCGTGTGGGGTGAGAGAATGGGGGAGATGATAAGGCAGATATTGTGTGAATTCTTTGTACTTGTCTGCAACTTTTCTTAAGTCTAAAATTATGACCACAATTTTTAAAAAAATTATAAAAACAAAAGAAAACAAATATTCCTCAAGATGTGCAAGAATGTCTGCGGGTGGGTTTGGCCATTATTCTCCTGCAGGGGACGGAATGATTGTGAGACGTGTGTGGATGGCGAACTGTCTGACGGGGGAGAGGCATGAACTCTGAGGTTTGGTCTCAGAGATGGAGGTCCCCACTTTACTCCTTTACGTACCGATACTCCCGCAAGTGCTTGCAAAGGGCACTTACTACTTTTGTAACCTGAGATGTGACTGTGGTTTTCTGTGTCTCAGAAGGACTTCCAGGTAAACACGTAGGTTGTTCTCTAACCTCCCAAACACCACAAAATGAACCACAATTGAATTTAAAACTCATAAACCCACGAAGAGAAGGGAGGTGAGAGGGCGTCGGTCCTTGGAGGATGGGTTTTAAAGGACATGACAGCTGACGTGGCAGGCGCTACTTCCATGTTCTAGAGCAGTGGTTCTCAGCCTTCCTAATGCCGCGACCCTTTAATACAGCTCCTCATGTTGTGGTGACCCCCAATTTCATTGTTACAAATTGAACATAATTAAAGCATAGTGATTCATCACAAAAACAATATGTAATTATATATGTGTTTTCCGATGGTCTTAGGCGACCCCTGTGAAAGGGTCGTTTGACCCCCCATAGGGGTCGCGACCCACAGGTTGAGAACCGCTGTGCTAGAGGAAGATGCCAGGGAACCCTGTTCAGGGCCAGGCCCAACCAGGCCCAGGAGGCAAGGGTGGGCGGGCGGACCAGAGGGTGGGAGGGGGGCGGTGGGGGAGGAAAGGGGAGTTGGCTGTGGTCTTGTCTACAGCGCTGTTCCCTATGTCCCTCCGCCCCCCATCCCAGGTTTCTCCTCCACAAATACTCCAGTGAACACCCCCCTCCCCCAACACCCCACTCCTGCAGGCGAGCACAGCTTAACCTTTGGAGAATCTGCACCAGAGGCTCTGGGCTCCGGGACACCAAGGCCAGTGTAGGGCACGGATGAGTCAGCAGCCAAGCACAGGGGAATGCGGGGGGCGGCGGGGGGGTGGTGGTGGGGTGCGGGGGGCGGCACCATCCTCACCAAGCCGCCGCCTGCCCTCCCGCACACAGCAGAATGCTGGTAGCCAATGCCCCCTCCTCCCCCTGGGCACTGGGGCATCTCCTCCGGATTCCAGGCGGACCCAGGACCCTGAGCACCAGCAGCGACACGCCTCCCCTGCAGCAGGGTTTCGAACAGGTGCTCAGCGGCTCGTCCTGGAGAACGAGCATGAAGGGCCGGGCCAGGATCGGCGGTACCTGAGGAACCTCAGCGAAAGCAAATAAGCAGGAAAGGCCGCGACTGGGGAGAAGAAACTCCAGGAGTGTAATCCCCTCAGAGCTAACGGGCAACTAGGCTGGACCATCCGAAACTTCCACTTCTGGGTCTGAAAACCGGGTCGGTGTCGGCGATTTCACATGACTGGGTCTAACAGCAGCCAGGAGATAAGAGGAGGCCGCACCGAAGGGCAGGCGAACCTAACGAATGTTAACACTATGCGAGCCAGAGGGAAAAGGTCACTGGCGGTCGGACTGTCAAGACGCCTCTGAGAAAGAAGAAAAACACGGTACAGGTGGGAAGGAAAGAAAGGAAGAAAAGGAAATGGAAGATCAATCCAGAAAGTTCAACATCTGCAGAGTAAGTTTTCCAGAAAAAACCCCACAGAAAATAGCAGAAAAAAATGTAACAAAAACAAACAGAGCCCCCTGTGCCAGCGATGAGGGCCCCCGGTGCCCAGGGCACAGCGGGCGAAGAGAGGCCTCAGAGATACAGATGTGAGCCCACGGGGAAACCACGGCCAGACACGAAGGCCGGGGCGAAGCACCACCGTGGACTCCTCCGTGGGACACGGGACGCTTCCACCTCAAACTCCGTGTCGATAAACTCTCCACGTGACAGCAGAACTCAGACACCGTGGCCTGGCTGGCGGGCATTTCCCCTCGAGCCTTTCTCTGCTTCTGCCACGTTGGGCAGCACTTCCGGAGAGAAATAATGAGGGAGACACCGCAGTGGACAAGCGTGTGCCGTTTCCATGGCGACCGCACCCTCGGGGCGGTGCACTGGAGCGGCAGAGCCTGGAGGTCCGGGTCCCTGCCAGGCCTCTGCGTGTGGGCTGCGGTCAGTGGAGGGGTCACACGTGGTTCGGGTGCCCTCTTTCGTCCTCTGTGAGGTCGAGGGGTTCCGAGCTGCACCTGGGTTTCTCCCACACAGCTCAGCGCGGCCCCTTTACAGACGCAGCGACTCCCTCTGAGGCAGGTACCTCTGCTTCCCTCTTGTTTTGAGAACATCAAGAAAGATGTGTTTTTCTCCTCATTCATTCTTCCCTCTTTTTGAGCCCCGTCCTTGCTTTCTGGCAGCAACCAGTGCTGCCAGCAGCTGTGATGGCCTCTAACAGCGGCTCACAGTGGGAGTCGTCTGACTCACACCAAGGCCTCCGGGACAGGAGGCGGAGCGCAGGCTGCACAGTCCCAGTCCACCATAGCCCGGCTTCCCATGAGCGTGACTCCCAGCTGTGGAAGTTTCTCGTGGGCCACGTGAGCCGGCAGAGCGGGCCTGCTCCACGCGGGGAGTCTAGCTGCCCGCAGACACCAGTGGGCAGAGCACCCACCTCCCTTTCCTGGACATGTCTGTAGGCCCAAGAGATGCCCCAAAGGGGATGGTCTCACTTTAAAACAAACATCAGAGAGGTGGGCACTAGCCTCATCCAGCAAATGAAGGCACCAACGATGAGGACAAACACGGGGCTGCTATGACCCTGGGGAGCACAGAAGCTTGAGCCCGAACTCCTAGACAACGGGCGGCCAAGGGCCCACACAGGTGGCTCCGGGGCCTCCGCAGGGAGCGGTCACAGTGCACATGAAAGCTCCAGAAGGGCAAGGACACGGCCTGCTGCTGCCAGCCTTCGGACTGGCTGGTAAGAACAGGCTGGTGGTTTCCGGTGCCCACCTGCCCCTCTCTGAGGATGAGTTTCGTACTTGACCACCTTTCTGTCCTTCAGAACATGCTACTGAACGATCTCCCAGAACCTCAGCAAGGCTGCTCACACTGGAATCCGGCACGCTTTGGGACCTGTTATTTTTCCTGCCATTTCCATTTCCATAGATTCTGTCCTGGAGATAACAGTGACACATCACTGGGCCAGTGGGCCGCGGCCAGGCGGGAGTTTGCCAACAGGCGGCTTTATGAAACCCTGGGTGCTTTCACACTGACAAAGAGTTCCAACCGGCCTCATGCCCATGTCGCCTCCGGAACCATCCGGCCAAAGAGGACAGACTGTACCCACCCCCTGGTCCCCTGGGCTTGCACGCGCTTCTGCTCTGCTCGGATTTTAAGAAGGCCGGCTGATCCCAACATCACCAAGGCAATTGGAATCGTGGCATCTGTTAATTAGGACGTGACCGTGCGGTTCCCCTGTGACAATTAAATTTAGGGCTAAAGATACCCACGTACCTACGGACCCGGTTCCGTCGATGATGGCGGTCACGGTGGCGAGGGCGTGGGAGCTTCCTTTCAGACTCTTGTGAGTCCCCTGAAGAGAGGGAAGTCGGTGTGGAGCCCGCCCCAGGGGCCCCAGGGGGAGGGCCGGCCTGCCGCAGGGCAGCCCACACAAGAGCTCAGAGCAGTTCTGAGCGTGGGCAGCTGCCCTAGAGCCCGTCTTGGAAAGACTGACAAGGTTTCGAGTGGCTGTAAGTCCTGCCCCCACTTCCCCTGTGTTCATTCCTTATGCTACGTCTGTTATAATTCACCACCCAGTACGTCGTTCACTAAAATCTATACGTTATCTGGATAGCATTGGTTTTTTATCGGACGTTTAATCTCTTTCTGTCCCAGGTTCCCGTCCAGGAGCCCACATGACATTGTGTTGGCTGTGACGGGTTCCCAGGCTCCCTTGTTCCTGGTGACCCCGACAGCTGTGAGGAGTAGGAGGCCCCTCTGTTGGGATCTGTCGGATGTTTTCCTCATGATTAGATGGGGAGTGGGTTTGGGGGAGAAAAACTAGAGGATAAGTGCCGTTTTTGGCCCTTCATATCAAGGGCACACGTGTCGACATGCTTATCACTGTTGTCATTGACCTTGACCCCTGGCAGAGGTCGGGTCTGTCAGGTATCCCTGAGTCACATTACCTTCCTGTCCCACCTGCCCCCTGTGGAAGGAGGTGGCAGACAACCCACAGCCGAGGAGCGGGAGGCTCGCTTCCTCTTGGAGGGCAGAGTTCGGCACATGTATCTTCTCCCCATTTATCTACACAGGGAACTACTTTTAAAGGTTTTTATTTTAGTGCTTTGCTCCCTTCAGGTGCCGGCACATGATACCGTGTGACATGTCTGTCCTCCACGTTGTAGGTGGGAATGGCCTGCCTCCTCGGGTTGGACTGGGGTCTCCGGGATCAGGAGTCACCTGTCGCCTGGGCAGCAGGCCCTTCTCCAGGAAGACGGGCAGTGGTCCCTGGGGGTCCCAAGGCCGAGGGTGGTTCCTGCCACCGTGGCATTGACATCTACCGTCCTGCACAGGAACTGCCTCTTTACCACAGTGGCTTCCTGTCTGGAACATGTCCTCCCAGGGCTGGGACCCCGTCTGGCTCATCTGCAGGCCCCACACCAGTGGAGGGTTGGGGACAGGGTGGGCACCCAGGGTGGGCCGAACCCGGGAGGAGCGGGCCTCACTGCCACGGCCCCAGGGCAGGCTCTGGGTGTACAGCCCCACAGCCTGTGAGGCCAGCACAGAGGGGTGAACCAAACCACTGGCCTCACCTCAGCCCCCTCGTCTATAGAATGGGGGCTACAATCTCCCCTCATTTGCTCAGAAAACTCTTAAATGGATAGATACTGGTCATTTAAAAAAAGTGCTTCTAGCCTGGCACAGTGGCTCGGGGGTTGAGTGTCGACCTATGAACCAGGAGGTCACAGTTCGATTCCCAGTCAGGGCACATGCCCAGGTTGTGCGGGCTCAATCCCTGGGGGGGGGGGGGGGGGGTTGAGGGGGGTGGGCGTGCAGGAGGCAGCTAATCAATGATTCTCTCTCATCATTGATGTTTCTCTCTCTCTTTCCTTCTCCTTTCCTCTCTGACATCAGTGAAAGAAAAATTTTTTCAAAGTTCTTTTCTAAACACAGCGCAGTGCTGATGGAGACCACTGTTGCCAGGGATGGAAGCGGGGCCACCTGGGCCAGCACTGCCCTCCTGCCCCCCGGCTCCGCGCTGAGACGCGCCCACTCACCAGGTCTGCGGAGACGGCGGTGGTGATCAGCGCGTACGGCCCGCTGACCAGGGCCCCGCAGAGCAGCAGCATGGCTGTGGGAACCAGAAACCACAGGGGATTTAGGGAGCAGAACTGGACCCCGGGAGAGTCTCAGCAAACCCTAGGTGGGCAGCCTGGCATCAGAAAGGGGTCCTGCCCCAGTGGGATGCTGGGAAGGTGGCCCAAATCCAGGGCGGGGGGCTGCCAGGGCCATCGTCATAAACACCTCCTTCAGAGTTGCCCTGAGAGCACCAGTCCAGCCACTTTCCCAAGAGTCAGGCTGTGCTCGGACCCAGAACTCCGTTCTCCCACCTCAATGGACAGCAGCTGCTGACACACCGAGGGGGCGAGAACCCGGGGCACCGAGTACACACATGACCACACGGCCCCGGGATAGCAAATGCCCCTGTGGTCTGTTGGCCACCACCAGCCACAGCCTTATCTGCAGGCAGGCCTTCCCTGCACCCACATGCTGGTCCCCGAGGTACCACGGTGCCCATTTCTGAAACGCAGTTACTTCCTAAACCGCCCTCTAGTTCACATTCCTCCGTGCAGACGCGTTTGGACCAGGTAGCAGCAACCTCCGTGATATCCCCCCATTAGCAACCTGCCTCCCCGTAACTTTCCATGGGATCACACAGTCTTCATCCCTGCCCATCCCACTGCTGGCTTGTTAGGATGGAAACAGTATTTCTAGGTGTCAGAGCCATGAGTTGGCAGTGGGAGTTAAAAACAGTCCTTCAGGGTTACGCAACTGCCCCCAGAGTGGCAGTGACAGGAGCCTGCTGGGAGGAAGGCTGGGACCTGAATTGCCTCGCTCCTGCCGGGGGTGCAGGTGACATCTGGCCTCTGTGAGTGGCTCCTGGCCACTGGGCACCTAAGGCCCGTCACTGCCAGAGGCAGGTGGCCTGCCCCCTCCCACACTGGCTCTCTACCTGCACATGGGCAGGCCTGGTGCCTGGGAGCAGGAGTCCTGTGGGCCTCTCCCAACATCCCACCCAAAGAGGGTCATGGGGACTATTTCAGCCTCGCCAAGTGCTCGTTACACCAGCTAAATGCTCCTTTGTTAATTTTTCTTTTCATTTCATTTCACCAAGCTGTGGGGTCAAAAGACGTGTGTGAAGGAAAAGCAGGGCCTGTGGACTCACCGATGGTGGCTTCCAGGCCCATTTTGCTGATGGTGGAGAAGATGTAGAGCTGTGAACGGGCGGAAACAGGGTAACAGTGAGTTACGACAAATGGCCGAGAGAGTGCCCTGAAGTCTGTGCTTCCGAGAAGCCAGGCAGGTGGCTCTCAGGAGCCAGACAGGGGCAGCCCTAACAGAACAGAGGCCCTGCTCCCTGGCCGGGCGGGCTGAAGGCAGGCGTCTGTGGAGGCCCGGCACACTGGCCTTGTCCCCAACACACGGGTCCCGATTGCGCTCGCTGAGCTGGGGGCCCTGAGCTGGGGGACCCTGCGGTGCTTCCTTCTCTGAGCTCCTGGCCAGAAGGACTGGGTTGGGACAGTTCTCCTGGAGTCTAACCACTGACCCCACAGCTGCACTGGGGAAACGGGGGCCCGAGGCCTGGGGGCCACACGCAGTCAGTTCCTTAGTGAAGGTTCTTGAGTGTCTGTACTGGGCGGTGCCCACCACTGAAGATGGCAGAAAACTAGGCCTGGGTCTGGGGACAGTCACAGCCCAGCCGAGTGGCAGACCAGATAATGACGATGCAAGCTGGGAATAATAATGTTACATGTAACATGTTGTAAAGACAGTCACGATACAGTGTTCCTTTAGCCCTCACACTGACAATGTGAGGTGCTGCTGCGGTCTCCTCACTTTGCAGAAAAGGAACCCAGCTGCAGAGCTGAAAGTCCCCTGCCAAGGTCGGCTCCACTGAATACCAAAAACACTGGGACCCGCTGTGAACATGATGGGCGGGGTCAGCGCTGACGGGAGGTGGGGATGGCGCGGGGATCCTGAAGGGTCAGTGGGAGTCTGGGGGGAGGAAGCGGGGAGGCTGGGGCTCTGCAGGCCCTCGGGGTTTGCAGGGAGGTCTGTGCCATGGAGGGAGGAGCCTGGGCCGGGCGGGAGAGCCGGCTGGTGGAGGGCAGAGGGAGGCAGCTCACCGTGGGGGCCGCGAGCAGCAGCATCAGCCCGCAGGTGGAGGCCCTCTTCCCCAGCCGATCCGAGATGACGCCTGCCAGGATCCCACCTGCCAGGCAGAGGGGGGTGCTGAGGGCTGCCTCCCTGGGCAAGGCCCCATGGAGAGGAAGCAGGATATACATATAGTCACAGCGGCGAGAAGGCAGTGACATCCTCTCCCAAGTCCCCGTTCATGTCCCCGTTAGCAGGAAGCCGCCTCAGTGATGCCTGACCTCGAACAGGCCGATGTGCTTGTGGTCAGACACGAGTGCCCCAGAGGCACCTCCCAGTGAGACAACGAGGGAGCCAAGGGGTTGGTTTAGGCCCTGAAAGTCCCCCTCCTCCCCCGTCAGGTTACTAATACCACCCGCTTGCCGCCTGCTGGGCACCCGTCTCTGATAGAGCTCAGGTGCAGAGGCAGAGCCAGGACGCGGGAGGGGATGCGCCCACGCAGGTGGTACCCAGGGGGCACATCGTCCTCTCAGGGGTAAGCCAGCTCTAAGAGGTCCCGGGCCCTGAGTGCTCATGTGCCACTGTTTGTACGCACGAAGCCGGGGGTGATGGACTCACCGAAGATCCCGCCCACGTCAAACAAGGTGGACAGCTCGCCCGCCTCCTTGGCGTCCAGGTGATCTGTTAGACCGAAGGGCGTCGCTGTGAGGAAGGTCCTCACACCACACCCTTGTTTCCTAAGCATGATGCACACCGAGGAGCAGCCAGCTAACTCCGATGGAGGAAAGCAAGCAGCCCAGCATTGGTGGACACACAGAAAGGTGAGAACTAAACACCAGCCCCCCAGTGAGCACTGGTCCTGCTGAGTCTCACTGGCTCCCACTTTGGTTCAGTGTCGCCAGGGTTCCACGCAGCACAGGACAGAAGTGGGGCCGCTAGACAGGGAAGGATCCCTGAGCTCCTTACTGCCTTCCCTGTCCCCCACAAACCCGCCCCTGCTAACATGCCTGTCCCCTCACTGTCCCCTCAGCCTCCCTCCTGTGACAGTCAGCCCTCCTGCTCGGGCTCAGGCCATGTCCACTTATCCTCATGACCCTGGGAACATGCAGTCTGCACCCTGCAAACCCACATTCCACATTTCTCCTCCCTGTCCATTCAGCAGAGCCGGCATCTCCCCACCTCTCAGGGGGACACCCAGAAGTTCTGGGTCCTACTTGACCATCCTTCCCTGACCATCCCACCCCGACCATCCTGTCCTGACCATCCCACCCTGACCATCCCCATCCCCTTTCAGCCGAGGCTGCAGCCCCTGGATGCGGGACCTTTTCTCTTAGGAACGTCTGGACCCCTCTTGCCTTTCCTGTCATGGTCACACACGGGCGTGCACACTGCTACTGAGCTGGTATGTTCTGTCACCACCTACAGCAGTGAGGGCGAACCTTTTGAGCTCGGCATGTCAGCATTTTGAAAAACCCTAACTTAACTCCGGTGCTGTGTCACATATAGAAATTTTTTGATATTTGTAACCATAGTAAAACAAAGACGTATATTTTTGATATTTATTTTATATATTTAAATGCCATTTAGCAAAGAAAAATCAACCAAAAAGATGAGTTCGCGTATCACCTCTGACATGCACGTCATAGGTTCGCCATCACTGCCCTGCAGCGTCAGCCCTGCTGGACTTGAGAAATAAGACAAACTGCCTGCTCTTCCCTCAAATGGAGCTCGTCCCCAGGAAGCAATTTCCAGGTCAGACCATCAAACACTCATTATCTCAGCTCCCCAGGGCCTCCCTCCTGCTCGCCACCTGCTGTGGCCCAGCGTCTGATGGAACTCGATTTAAACGCAGGCTGCCCTGGAACAGGGAGACCCCGTGGAACCAGCAGCCACGGCTGGGACGGACATGTCAGCCCTTTAACCCCATCGAGGTTAAGACCATGGCACAGAACGTGCCCAGCCCAGCTGCCTTTTTGTCTATACGTGTCCACTACTCATGTTGCTGGGTTCAGAAATGTGTCTCTCACATCCTCACGCATCATGAGCCTCTGCTTTCCAAGTCCAAGGGACCAGCAGCTGAAGGGAGTTCGGATCCCAGCCTCCGCCAGAGCCTAACGCCTGTGCTTCCAGCCGCAGGCACTCACCGACACTTGTGATGTAGAGAGGGAGCCAGAAGAGGAACGTGTAGCTGACCAGCTTTGCAAAGAGCAGACACAGGGAGAACTCGACCACACCCTGAAAGAGAGCGAGCCGCTTATCCCAAAGGTGCACTCACTGTGTTCACTTCAATATGCTACCGCGCCCCAAGTTCCCCGACGCCCACAGACCACAGCTCTGGTCTGGGCTGACACCTCCGGTGGCGGGGAGAGGGGCAGTGTGGCTGCACAGGATGCCTGGGATGCGGGTCCTGGACAACTCCCGCAGGCTCCTACAGCTCACGGCTGCCCTTTAAGAAGAAACCCGTCTTTACATCAGCTCAGTCAGTGACAATACGCACTGTGACCCTCACACCACTTCGCTCTGAGCACTTAGCTACTGAAGTTCAGGATGAAGCGGAGAGTCACCTGGTTACTGAGTATTTCATGGCTATTTCTTTCTCCCCTGAAACCAAAACTCAAAACCACCGCACGTTATACAGTGACGAGGAACACAGAACATGTGCCCATTCTCTAAGGGATGGGGGCTGCTGCACCCTGCCTGCCCCCAAACTGTGGGTGCTGGGGAACCCTGGAAGAGCAGTGCAGATCTTCATGAGGAAACGAGGGCTGGAGTTTGATGGCTACCCGACAATGCCTGTCTGTGGTCCCTGGAGCTCTCCTTTTAGAAAGAGCGGGTGCCTGTGAGCCAGTTCCAGGTACCGCCTGGGAAATGTTAGTGAGAACAGGGTCACACGTCCCAACGCTGCATGCCCAGGCCCCACCACAGCGAGGCAAGCACACGCCATCTATGCAGTGACCAGAGGACTCCTCTACGTCCTGAGCTCCTCCAGGAGCTCCGTGTTCAGGAGCTGATGTTTGCACAGGGGGTACCCCAGCGGGAGGGTGTGTGTGATTCACTGCATCCTCACCATGTAGCTGGCATTGTGCTCAGAGCTCTAATTAAGTGACCTCCTTCAACCCTTGAACAGCAGTAAGCATGGCACCAGGCATTGAGCCGATTGACGGATGAGGGAGTGGGGGCTCCGAGTGGCTGACACTTGCTGGACACCCAGCTCCTCGGAGGCAGGGCCGGGGTGAGCCTGGCCGGGGCTCTCAGCCTGCTCTCTGCACAACCCCACTTGCATTTCTTAACTAGTGTATACCCCACTTTCAGTAAAAGTATTCGAGGCAGCTACACAATAAGGTACAACAGAAAGGTTACTGGTGTTAACAAGACAATTTTAAAAATAACTTTCTATTTAAAACAGTGTTTCCTGCAGGCCAGCCCAGAGCTCTCTCTCTTTCAATGGCGGGCGGCCAGGCTGGGCTGCAGCGCCCTTGACTGAAAGCAGGTCCGGGCTCCGGGCCCATCTGTTCCACAGCGGGTCCCCCAAGTCCCTTTATGGCTGTGACTGCGTGATTCTACGCTCTGGGTGCGCCCTTCCCCCTCCAGCCCCACACACGCACTAAGGGGCCTCTGGGGCTGCGTCCCTCTGCCCCGCTCACGGAGGGCGAGCATCAGTGAATTGGTCTTGGCCGTGTGAGAGCTATGCCGACTCCATTGAGTACGAGTGCCCACGGGCTGCAGCTCAGGAGTTTCCAGAGCGGTCCCCACGGCCTGGCCGTCGTGGCCCACGGGGCAGGGTTGCTCTCCCTTTTCCTGCTGCTTCTGCTCCTGTGGTGCCCTCACCGCCTCTCTGGTCACCGTGTCAGAAGAAAACGGCTTCTCCATGTCCTCTGACAGTCCCCTGTTCTCTGCTGAGGAGCCCATGCATTTAACACCAGAAAACTCTGAAGCAACAAGAGATCTCACCACTGCACACCGCCCCCAGCCCCCCCCCCTTTTTTTTAGAATATTTTTATTGATTTCAGAGAGGAAGGGAGAGGGAGAGAGAGAAACATCAATGATGAGAGAGAATCATGGACTGGCTGCCTCCTGCACGCCCCCTACTGGGGACTGAACCTGCAAACCAGGCACATGCCCTTGACTGGAATCGAATCAGGGACCCTTCAGTCCCCAGGCTGGTGCTCTGCCCACTGAGCCAAACCAGCCAGGGCCCCCAGCCCTGTCTTGACCACCTTCTCCCCGAATCTCCTTCACATCTGGCCACATACAGGGCCCACCAGCAGGCAGTGCGCATGCCTGTCTGCCCAGAGCCTGGACCAGCCACCTCCCTGCACACAGCTCGCCTCATCTTTAAACAAAGAACAAACCCAGGTTCTGTGGCCCATCAGCTTTCCGTCTGCACCCTCGCCCTCCTTCCTGGTAGAGCACGGCTCAATGAGACCAGGTCCGGGCTCCTAAAGCACTTTCATGGGTGAGGAAGTCGAGTGGGCGCACCCCGCAGAGGAGAACGCAGGGCTGGTGCCTCCCCGGGGCCACCTCAGGTCCTCAGGGGCCAGCAGGCGGCTGGGAGGGAGGCGTGAACACAGGGCGTGGAGGCCCAGCAGGGCCAGGGACTCAGGTTTTTCAAGGGATGAGGAGAGGCCTGTTTGTCTATGAAATTTCTGAATTTCTAAATGGAGACAACTCATTTCAAAACTTTTTAAAACATAGTGTGAGGCAGACAGACACTGCGGCCCTGCTCAGGGCTGGGCTGCCTGTGAACTGGCCCCGCTGAGGTTCTGACCTGTGCACTGTTGATCACAGTTGCCTTTTCTAAGGCCAGTTTCATCCACCACATGCACAGACGCCCCCCTTTGGAAGTCTCCCCAGGCTGGTACTCACGGGGATTTTCAAGGCCCCGGTGAAGCTGATGGCGGCCATGCTGCCCCCGCCCTCGGCTGGGAGGGTGATCACGTGGTTCTGATGGACAGCATACTTCCCATCCGACAGCAGCAAGCACTGCGTCTCTGGGTCCTGGTGGGGCCCATTGGAAAGAGAAAGAAGAGGTTGTCAATGCCTCTGGCAAAGGGAGGCCAGGGTTCCTGATGGCTAAGGGCTTCCTGAGAGTCTCAGGGCATCTTGGAGAACATTCTCACCGCAGTCATCGCTTAGAATCATTAGCTTGCCTGTGTTTTTAGAAAGCATTAACTAAACATGCAAAACCCTTTGACCCAGCCATTCTAGGAATCTGTTTGTGAAAAATAATCTGGACGATGAAAAACTACAATAAATGAATGTCAACCACCATTGAGGAAAACTGGTTAAGTCCATCCATAGTAATAATATATCTTGCAGTTATAAAAAAAGTTTTAGATTTTAATGACATGGAAATATGCTCAAAAATACTCAAAATTATATTTTATCATGATCTCAAGGAATATATACATATATTATGAATATTTATATATGCTTAAATATCTCTATATATAAAAGGCTAATATGCAAAGTGTCCCCTCAGGAGTTCGACCGGGAGACTAGGAGTTCGATTGCTTGCTATGATGTGCACTGACCACCATGGGGTGGCGTGGAACGAAGGAAGGCCCTGGCCAGCAGCCAGCAGCCAGGGAAGGGAGGGGCAGGTGCCAGCCATGGCCACAATGTGGGCTCAGCCCAGCATCTCGCATGGGCAGCAGGACGCCATCCCGAGGGCCGGGAAGTGGCTTCCTGGCAGACATGGCACAGGGGACTGACCTTTGGGTAAACATGGTCATGTTTACCACACATGTGATGCTTCAGCATGACGATGACAAGCCCCCAATGTGAAAACACACTGTCTTCTTACGGCCAATTCCATACAAATACATGAACATGAAGAGCTGCCACTTGAGTTTGGAAGTAAACTTTTCTCTCATGAATTATGCTAGCTGTCCAGGTCAAGAGACTAAGTCACAGTTCTCAACCCTGGCTGAGCCCTGAGTCTCCTGGGGCTCTGCGCCAGTCTGGGCGCAGGCTGCTCCCGGGCAATTACAGGGGTCCTAGGAGCAGGCCCCAGCAGGCCCAAGGTGCTGCCCCGGCTGAGAACTGCAGAACTCCACGGAGTTTACAAACACAAAGTAGGCAGTGCTGTCTGAAAGGCAGTCATGATGGGGGCTGAGTAACACTCCACTCAGGTCCTGTGGGTCTGAGCTGGGTCACTCCGGGAAAGAGGGCGCCAGGTTTTCCTGCTGAACCTGGGGGACACCCTGCCTGCCCACCAGAGCCACCTACAGTGTGTGAGCTCTTCCTGCAACACAGGGCGAGGACCAAAGCCTGGTGAGTGCTCAGAGGCCCCTCTGAAAGGGCCAACAACCGCCTGATGGCGTCTGCACTGAGGTTGCCTGTGGTGCAGCCTCTAACTAGGTAACTGTCTGTTTGGTGACAGCTAGTAAACAGACTTTCATAGAAGGACCAGGAAAGGGAAGAGTGACATTTAATCAGAAGACGTGGCCAGCTTTACTGGCGAGTAGCTGCATCAGAACACGGGGCCTGAGGTGTTGCATCAAGGGCAAAGGCATGTCTTCAATCAGTCGGAGAGGGCTCGGCAGGCGTGACCCAGAGGTTGAGCATCGCTCTATGAACCAGGAGGTCATAGTTTGAAAAAAAATCCAAGAGGAATCGAGCCATTTGGACATCGATTAAGACCTGATGGGGTGGACCAAATATCTGTGTTCCTCCCAAATTCATGTGTTGAACCCCAATCTCTAATGTGATGGTATTTGGAGGTGGGCCTTTGGTCAGGAGGGGAGCCCCCTTGAGGGGATTAGTGCCCTTATGAGAAGAGATACCGGAGAGCTTGCTCCTCTCCCTGCTCTCCGTCTTCCTGGCATTTAGCTGGTGCTGTCCCCCCGCCCCCCTACAATGGGAGTCCCACAGGAACAAGACGTGTCACCGATGCTCGCGGCACAGCCTGACCTGGAGCAGTGCCCGCTGCACGGAATGCTGCAAATACTTGCAGAACGAATGAATGACTGTCAAATTTGATTTTAAAAATGTAAAGTAAGCTTAGCCTGCTACCCAAAGAAGCCTAACAAGGACAAATTTGAGATTTACTGATGAAACGCGAGATCCAGTTTTGTGAGGACCCTGGATGTCTGGGACGGGTCCCTGAGGCAGCGACTCTGACCGCCTGCTCAGCGGCTCGGGGATGACTCACCAGCAGCTTCTTCTCGTCGGGTAGGGCTTGCTTCTGCAGCCGAAACCTGTGCACGCCATTTTCATAGCTTTTCGGATGCTGGGAGGAAAAGAATTAGTTAGAGCGAGGACTGAATCCACAGCCAGAAATTACACCTCACTTCACTGTAGCAGGGATACAAGGAGCAGAGAGCGAGTCCTTACCGCCACCAGGGTGGACGAGCAGGCGATGTCCTTCGGATCTGAAAAACCAAACATGCAGTCACGTGTGAACCCGGGGCCAGGCGTGTCCTCCAACACAAAAACTAAACCAAAACAAGACCCATCTGATACTTCTACTCAAATTAGCAGCAATTTCAGAAAAAAAATGCCCGAGGCAGCATGCCTGGTGGGGTGAGGGCGCAGGGCGGCCACCCCACAGAGAACCCACACCCCCTGCCCGCCCTCCGCCCCCAACAAATGCGAGCGGCAGGAGCATGAAGCCTGCTGTGCGATACGGAGAACAGGTCACATGTGACCCCAGACACACCGAGCGCACGCACACCGCAGTGACAGCCACGCGAAGCGTGTTGGAAGGAGGACTTCCGGGAGGAAATGTAAGGACAGGAAAAGCATTTCAGAACAGAAGGTTACAGGGGACATGGGTGAGGAGTTGCTGAACGTATAGAATGAATTGGAAATGAAAATTACTGGGGACCAAACATCCATCTTGAAATAGAATAAAGTGCCTTTTATCTAAATGCCAGGAGGAAGGACACGGGAAAGAGTAACAAAGCTGGAAGCTCGGCTTTCCATCCTGTGCCTGGAAATGACTCTGGTGCATTTGGGCACCAGCGGCCAGCACAGCTGTGGGGCGCGGGGGAAGCACGCTCACTGCTCCAGAGTCCGGAGGCTGCCCTTAAACAGCTTGCTCCCTCCCCACGCCGAGGCTGGTCTTTGAATCACTTGGTGAAACAGTTTAACTGCCTCGAAGCAAACTGAGCTAATGGGCTTTAAAGTTCCCACAGCTGAGCTCCTCCCCATGTGACACAGAGGGTGACCCGGGCCTCCCGAGCACTTTCTGAGGGACTGGAGGCTCCTCCACGCTCACCCCACGCACGTTGGCAGGGACGGCACTGCTGGTCCCACCTGACATGTGTGGTCGCCACTAAAGTGATGTCAGCAGCTCACCCGGGGTTTTCCGCAGCCACCCTGTGCCCCACCCTGTGCCCCGCCAGCCAGGAGGCCTCCCTGCTCCCGAGGCTTGGCCGGTGCCTACAAGAGGGCTTCTCCCAGGCCTTCGCCTGGGGGACATTAGCACACATGACCCTTGGCTGGGACACGTCCTAGAGCCGTTTCACAGGCAGACACGAGGGGCCCACAGGTGGGCATCCTGTCTTTGGGGCCTAGCCCTGGGCAGGAAGAAGGAGCAGGTCACAAGGAGGGGGCACCCAAAGCTTTTGCTGCTCAGCCCCACACTCAGGGAGTAGGGAGAGGAGAGAACAGAAATGAACCAAGAAACCTATATGATTTTATTAAGCAGTGTCACCCCAATAAACTCAATTAAAAAATAAAATTTAAAAAAGATTATCATCTAAGTAAAAAAAACTATTTTTAACTGAACCCATCCCAGGACCTAAGGGATCCATGGCCAGAGTTTAAGAAAGCCTGAACGGTGAGCTGGCACCTGGTCCCACCCAACATCCCCATTTGCTGAGTGACCTTGGGCAGGTCTGTTAGCACCTGAGCCTCAGGCCCTTTTCCTGGGTAGCCACACGCCTGGCCCGGGCCTGGAACACAGGAAGCACGCTGCATGCGGTAGCCACTCCCTCTCCCTCCTGAAATGTCCTATTGATGACATGGGAAGAACAGCTGCAGGGAGTGCGCTCACTCGTTATTAGGAAGAATCTGAGAGATGTCTTCATTCCAACACAAATCACAGCCAACCTCAGATTTTAAATCAAGGGGCAGGTGTGACCTCAGAGGCAGAGCTGTGACCGTGGGAGACACCGAGGAGGGCTGAAAGGGAGACCTGCAGCGGGAAGGCAGACAAACACCAAGTCTGGAAGGTGCCCTGTGGCTGTGAACCAGGGATGGGGGACCGGCCTTAGCAGAGGCTGGGGGAGGAGAGAGGAGTAGCCAGGGCAGTGGGACAAGGAGAGCCAACCTCCGGCAGCGATGAGCCATCCGAAGGAAGTGCCAGCAGTGCAGAGTGACTGCAGGAACAGGTACTGAGATCAGGTACTGAGAGAGATCAGGTACTGAGATGAGGTACTGAGATAAGGCACTGAGAGAGATGAGGTACTACTGAAAGAGATGAGGTACTAAGAGAGATGAGGTACTGAGATGAGGTACTGAGATGAGGTACTAAGAGAGATGAGGTACTGAGATGAGGTACTAAGAGAGATGAGGTACTGAGATGAGGTACTAAGAGAGATGAGGTACTAAGAGAGATGAGGTACTGAGATAGGCACTGAGTGAGATGAGGTACTGAGATGAGGTATTAAGAGAGATGAGGTACTGAGATGAGGTACTAAGAGAGATGAGGTACTGAGATGAGGTACTGAGATAAGGCACTGAGTGAGATGAGGTACTGAGAGAGATGAGGTACTGAAAGAGATGAGGTACTGAGAGGGATGAGGTACTGAGAGGAGGTGCTGAGAGAAGAGGTACTGAGATGAGGTACTGAGATGAGGTACTAAGAGAGATGAGGTACTAAGAGAGATGAGGTACTGAGATAAGGCACTGAGTGAGATGAGGTACTGAGATGAGGTACTAAGAGAGATGAGGTACTGAGATGAGGTACTAAGAGAGATGAGGTACTGAGATGAGGTACTGAGATAAGCACTGAGTGAGATGAGGTACTGAGAGAGATGAGGTACTGAAAGAGATGAGGTACTGAGAGGGATGAGAGGTACTGAGATGAGGTACTGAGATGAGGTACTGAGTGAGATGAGGTACTGAGATGAGGTACTGAGTGAGATGAGGTACTGAGTGAGATGAGGTACTGAGATGAGGTACTGAGTGAGATGAGGTACTGAGTGAGATGAGGTACTGAGATGAGGTACTGAGGGAGATGAGGTACTGAGTGAGATGAGGTACTGAGATGAGGTACTGAGTGAGATGAGGTACTGAGAGAGATGAGGTACTGAGTGAAATGAGGTAGTGAAATGAGGTACTGAGATGAGGTACTGAGATGAGGTACTGGGGAGATCAGGTACTGGAGGACCAGGGCTCTGGTGGGAGACCACAGTGCACTGAGGACACTGCCCCCCAAAGTATGGAGCATGCGGGAGAGGAGGCCAGGGGTGGGGTGAGCAGGGAAGGAGGGGCAGGGAAGGATTTGGTGGCACCAAGAACAGGGATAGGGGCCTCACTGGGGAGCTTGTGGAACCTTGGATACAGTTACTAATAAGGCGGGAGGCTAAGACTGTCGGTAAGAAAAACCACCAAGCGGAGGAGCGAGAGAGCAGAGACAGGAGGGAGGCCGGGCTCAGCGGCCAGGTCCCGGTTCCACGGCACCTCCCACCACCGTCAGTGCTGGCTTGCGGCCAGGAGAGCCAGGGAGGCAGAAGGCACAGTGTAGGTCCGGAGGTGCTCACCTGTCCCCCACCTGTCCCCCAAGATCTTGTAGGACAGCCTTACAGGCATGGTCTCTGGTGGCATTTCTGCCCCAAGAGTGGACCCAGGAGGAGAGAAACAGAGCCCTACGGTCACCACAGTACGGGGCGGGAAGCCAGCAGGGGGACCCCTGGAATCAGAGGAAGCTGACAAGAGGTGATGGGAATGATGGGAAGGCAGTTCCAGGAAAGCCCTCTGTTCAGAATCTCAGCTTCGCCCCTCCCTCCCCAACCTGACACCCCGCAGGAGCCACAGGAGTGGTGGCTCAGTGGGAAGGAGCTCTCACTCATTTGATTACAAAAGATCAAGCCAACGCTTCCTTATTCTTGGAAATCCTGCCCGGCCCGGCCCTGCTGATGGACCTGCGTGGGGATTGGCACTCAGATCCCAGGCCAGGCCAGCAAGCAAGCTCCCGCCCTCTGCCACCCTCCGCCTTCCCCCAGCACCAGCCTCTTATCGGTTGAGGAAGAGGATAAAGGTCACTGTGGACTCCAGACCTCGGGCAGACAGTGCACTGCATCCAGGGAACCCGGGGCTGGCGAAGAGGAAGTGCCTGGCTCTCAGGTGACTAATGCGTGAAGGACGCCCTGGAGAGCAGGCGGCAGGACCCAGTCTGGAGGAAGACAGGTGGCACAGAGGACCTTTCCCAGAACTCGGCGCCACTCGGGTCCAGCTAAAGGTGTGCGAGTCTGAGCGCCCTGGCATCCGGCAGCACCAGCTTCTCCATCGCTGGCACACCTAAGAACCTTTGTCCTCCTGGGCCTCTATTTTAAAAATTAATTTGAAATTCAATGAAAACAAGTTTGGAACTGAGTCTAGAATGGAACACTCTTCCCCCAGGTAAGATATATGGTCCTAAGCTGTGCCATGGTTTTACAACACTGTCCAAGATACACCTTATCGGAAAGCACACAGCCTGGGTGAGCAGGTGCGGGCCGGCACCGCGCCCCTGGAGGTGAGCGACGTGGCAGGCCCGAGGGAGCCGCGAGACTCCCGGACACAGGAAACCCGCATGCCGGATGCCGCAGGGCAGGGGGACAGGTGGGAGGAATTTCTGTTACTCCAGAAACCAGGAAACAGCAGGAAATCCAGCATGACCAGCAGAGAAACAGCTAACGGGGAAGCCTGCACCTGAAGAAGGAAGTCTACCTGGTGTGGGGGGAGCCAGGGCAACCACACACCTGCACAGGACGAAGCAACAGCCTGTTCTCTTAGCAACGCATGCCGCAGCCCTCCGGGGGTGGTCCTCTCTCGGGCCACGGGTACTTACGCTCAATGAGGAAGAGGAAGCACACGATCCCCATGGCTGCCACAATGGCCCCGGGCACGATGAAGGACAGGCCCCAGCACGTGGACACCCAGTAGCCAGCAATCAAGGACCCCAGGATGTTGCCCACTGAGGTGTGGGAGTTCCAGACCCCCATAATCAGACCTCGCCTGCAACACAAGACACAAGGCAGCAAATGATGTCCAGAAGCTCACGTGGGCCCGCTGTGTGGGACATGGCATTGGTGCCACGCATGAGAGCTGGTCGAGGACTAGAGGTGGGGCAGGAACTTCTGCAGGACGCAGGGCTGGGATGCTTGCAGAGAACTGGGCTTCACCTCACCTCACCTCGGAGACTTAGGTGTGTTTACACATCTCGCTCAGAGCTTCTTTACTGATGATTAAAAAGAGGAATGAGGCCTTTTCCTGAAGTTCCTGGAAGACCCCAAATTTGAATGTGTGCCTCTGCAGACTAAGTCCAGTCATGTGATGAGCTAGCCCATCAACACGAGTTTCCGCTGACTGGCCCAGCGGATGGAGTAGCTGAATGAGGCTCCGGGAGCTGGCTTCCGTTCCGTTCCCCATTTTCAGTACCTGCCCACACTCCCTAAGCCTAGCCCTGGCCGGAGCTGTGGGCCACACAGCATCACTGTGGCATCTGGACTGCAGTCGGGCCACCAGAGGCCGAGCGCACCTCTGCTCCCAGGCGCTGGGTGCCTAGTCAGGACTTGTCACACTTCCATGTGCCTTGGGTCTTATTTTTAATGTGGCCTGAAGCAGGGTGTCCTCAGCACGTCTCCCAGGAGGCCAGAAAAGGCCACGCTGCTGGTCAGCTTTGCAGAATGACAGACCCGCCCCGCCCAGAGCAGGGTGGGCATCTCCTGGAACAAAGGCCACCTGCATTTCAGAACCTCTGGTCCCAGAAGTTTTAATGATTTTATTTCATAGACTAGTTAAAGTGCCCCCCCCCCACACACAATAAATCTAAAGAAAAACTGAAAATAAAGTCCTTTTTAAAAAAATCTTTTACAAAATAATGCTGCTGGAAACAGGGTGGCCTTTTCTCACCTTCCTTTTTAAAACCTTTTATTTTTCTGTGACGGTTGCCATTCAATGTTATTTTGCTTTAGTTCCAGGCGTACAGCAGGTGGTTAGACAATCACACACTTTACAAAGTCTCACCTTCCTTTTCCAAACCAGTTGCTGAGGCAGGTGACGACGCTGGGCCAGCCGGTGGTCTGCACCAGCCCGTTGATGACCTGTGACAGAGGGTGAAGGGAGGCTCAGCTCGCGGGGAGCACTGCTTTAAGGGGGCTCACGGACGCTGCCCTTCACTGCACGTTTGGGAGCACAGCTGGGGCTCCCACAAAAGAAGGGGGTCAGACCCTATTTGATGTGAGCCCCAAGAGCCAAAGATTTTAATCTATACTTATAATTACAGATCTAATACATGCCTATGGTGAAAATTTTTGAATAAGTGGGGAAGAGAAAGAAAAGGAAATTTCTTGCTAGAAGATGAACTACTTACTATTAACAGCCTGGGGCCAAGGGGTTCAATTGCTGTCTAATCCAAATTTTATCAGAAGAGAAAAAATTGTCTTCTTTATCTAGAAATGTGATAGTCCTATAAATATGGCTTGCAAATTGCATGCTTTCATTTCTTATGTTGTGAAGAAGGTACTGTTGTTAATGATACTCTGAAGGGAGATTAACTTTGATCTAAAGCCTGTAGAAAGTATTTCTCCTCCTTCTAAGAATACCCTGAGCTTACATTTCAAGAAGGGACTTAATGCCTGGCCAGTATGGCTTAGTGGTTGAGGAGTGTCAACCTATGAACCAAGAGGTCACGGTTCGATTCTGGGCAGGGCACATCCCCAGGTTGCGGGCTTGATCCCAAGTAGGGGGCATGATGTTTCTCTCTCTCAAATACACACACACACACACACACACACACACACACACACTAGAGGCCCGGTGCACAAAATTTGTGCACAGGTGGGGTCCCTAGGACTGGCTGGTGATCGGGGCCAATTGGGGCCAGGCTAATCAGGGCCCAAAGGCCCCAGCGGGGTCAGGAGAGGAGGTGACAGTCAACTGGGTGTGAAAGGAATGGACGCCGGACACCAACGCTGCCATCATCAGCACCTCACCACCATGCAGTTCCTTGCCTCTCCCCCTCCTCCTTCCCTTGCTGCTGCACCACCACAATGGCGGGTGGCAGACCGATAGGGGCCTGCTGGCCAAAGGCGGTTGGCTGTGGGAGTGTACTGACCACCAGGGGGCAGCTCCTGTGTCTGTCTGTCTCTCTCTCTCTCTCTCTCTCTCTCTCTCTCTCTATATATATATATATATATATATTTTTTTTTTTTTAAAGAAGGGACTTAGCAAGTGCACTAGTGAATGAGCTCACTTTAATCTCAGGAGCGTCAGGGGCAACTTTACAAGACGACATGAAAGCAGGTCCAGCCTTGCACCTCTTACAATGACCACTGGGACAACCAGCTCTGCAGAAGCCATTGGGGCTGCACGCCGGTCCAGCCTCAGGGCCAGCCAGGCATAGCCTTCCCTCTAGGAATGTGCTGGAACTCTGGGGAAATTTTTTTCTCCTTCCTTATAATTTTAAATATTACTACAAAGTGTAACTTGCTTTTGTAATTAAAACAGTACAACTTTTTCAAGGTCTGTGGCAACCTTTTTAAAGGTAAACTATGTCTAACTTGCTTTGATGATTTTATAACACCTGCTAGGCTATCTGGAGAGCCTCCGAAGTCGAACTCATTATTTTAAGTAATTTTCCATTTCTAGTAAATATTTATTCTCAAGAACGTTGGGATGGGCAGTAGCCAAGTGTTTCAGGAAGGGCTGGGCCCAGCTGGAAGGGCAAAGCCACAGGGCCTATCTCGACTTCACCTGCTGTGAGCACCCTTAGGCTCTCTCCTCCCACTGACGACCTCCAACCCTGTCCCATCGCCAATGACGCCCACGTCCTCCCTTCCTCCTGCCCTCGCTGCACCCCAACACCTCTCTGACTCCTGAGTGGTCTGATTAGTTACAGACACAACATCTAAACTCATCCAGATGAGGGCAGAGGGCTCCTGCTTTGATTCCCGGCTGGGGTGTGGACAGATAGGATTCCCTAAGAGGCAACTCCTGCCCGGCCTGTGTGGCTCAATGGTTGAGTGCTGACCTATGAACTAGGAAATCATGGTTTGATTCCCGGTCAGGACACCTGCCTGGGTTATGGGCTTGATCCCCAGTGTGGGGCGTGCAGGAGGCAGCCGATCAATGATTCTCTTTCATCATTGATGTTTCTATCTCTATCTCTATCTCCAGTCCTCTCTGAAATCAATAAAAAAGTATATATTTTTTTTAAAAGAGGCAACTCCTGAAACTTAAGAAAAACTGCATGGATGTTGGAATTTCAGAGAAGACAGAAGAGAGACCTTACATGTCAGCACTGACCTTGATGTCAGACAGGATACAGGTCTGCCAGACCCCCTGTCCCGATTCCACCCCCTGCCATCTTCTCTCTTGGTGGAAGGAGGGACCTGCGACATGAGCACCCTGTCCAGCTCATCATGGAAACCCCATGTGTGGTAAGCCATAGACCCAGACCTTACCTGAGTTACCACGTAGAATCCAAAACTGTGGATATTGTAGAAATACCCTAACCCAAACAGGGCAGTAAAGATACCACTGGCCAGCATTCCGAAAGTTAGGTAATACCTAATTGGCAGGCGCTCCCCTATTATGCCGCTGAGGAGGAAAAAAAAGACAAATATGAGAAAACAAACACACCCATAGTGCAAATGACCCAGCGATCTCCTTCCGGATGCTTTCCGGCTGTTCTCGGAGCTTTTAGAACTACAGAGCACTACTGTTTCCAAGAAGATTTAATCACAATGACCTCCCAATGGGGCGTTTATTAACCAGAAACTGGTAATTGGAAACATCTTTTAAGACTTTTTATTTCTAGTGACAGTCACTAACTGTCAAGTAATAAACATCAAACACCATGGCTTACACACGATGGCAGCCAATTAAAAAAACAACAACAAACTTGTCCGGCTAGTTAATCCTGCTTTTATATAAATAACAGTTAAAATTTCAACTGTCAAACTGTAGGCAAACATCATAAAAAGGAGTCACCCGTGACCATGAGCAAGCCTCTTGGCCTGGGGCTGCTATTAAGTCACCCGGAGAGGCTGATGGAATGGACATCATTCCATGTTTACCCGACTCTAGGCACGCACACCTGCTGACACCTGCCAGGCAGGAGCTGGCCGTGAGGTCCCCACCAAGTCTGATTGTATCTGCTGTGCCACACCATCCGCGCGCCGAGGTGGCGCTGAAAGGCCGTGCCAGGGAGCGGTGCACCCCCTGCTCAGTGGAGAGCCCACGTGGACTCCACATTGGCCAGATTCTCGTGGTCACGCTCAGTGGCCAGCTGCCTGAAAAGGGTCTTTGCTGGTAAATAAGCAATGATAGAAGCACTTCATTTAAACCAGGTTTCTTCACCTCGGCACTCCTGCCACCTGGGGCTGGGTGACCTTCGTGGTGAGGGCTGTGCCGCGTGCTGTAGCATGTGAGCAGCACCCTGGTCTCTGCCCACTGGATGCCAGGAGCACCCTTTCTCCAGCCGGGACAACCATATTTAAAAAATATGTCTCCAGATGTTGCTCTACGTTTCCTGAGGGACAAAATCACTCCCAGCTGAGAAGGACATTTAAATACTGTTTTCTAGTCACTGAGAGAAACATACTCCAGCTGTTGGTCTTTTATTCTATAGGTTGTTGGTGTCCAGTGAGAGCAATCTTAAAAGAAACATTATTCTTCAAGATGGGACAGGCTGGCAGCCTGGGTGCCACCCCGGCCTGAGAAGCCGGAGGCTTACAGGTACTCCTCCTGTTCTGCTGTGCACCACTTGTTTCAGCTTCCCTGTCTGCTGCCGCCCATATCTGCAGCACCGTGCAAATACGCAAACATAAGAAAGGAAACCACCCTCCACCAGAGGGAACTGCCTGGCTGGCACCACCCACCCACAAGGGCATTGGGCTAGGGTGGGGCCCAGGTCCTGATGACGCCGCATCTGGTGGGTCTCAGGGAAGAGGCTCAACATGGACAGAATCCCCGAGATTCTCGAATCTCTAAAGATCTCAGTCTCCAAACAAAAACCTCTTGGGCTAAAGGCCTTACTTTCTATTATGCTCATTTCCCCCACAACCCGGCTGGACTGACATCATTCCAGTATTTAACCCGCCCCCAACATGTCCTGTTACTCATTTAACATGTACCGCCTTCCTAGTCCGTTCAAGAACGGGAGCAAGGAGAACCCAGGAGAGTAATCACGTGTGGCAGACGCTGGGCATGCGCCACGCGCCGGCACCGTGCCGAGCACCCTGCATGCATTAACGCATTCAGCCCCACCTGTCCTCTGGGGTGAGAACGACTATTTCCCCCGTGTGCAAAGCTGTACAGGGACTTGCCCACGGCCACATGAACAGGTGGTGGAGCCGGGGTTCAGATCCCAGCAGTGTCTCTGCATCCTCGCCCGCACAGCCCCTGCGCTCAGGTGAGGAGCCTGTGTGTGCTGAGCAGGTTGTCCAGGTGGACACGTGCAGCACACACTTGGCAAACCGTGGACTCAGGGATTTGGGACACGTAAACAGATGGCGGCCCCGGAAAGCAGAGGCGAGGATGCGCTCTGCTGAGCATCACGAGGAGCCACCACCAGCGCCCTGCTCCTAAGCGACCACATCCCAGCAGGGCTTGCCGTGTGTCCGAAACCCAAGGCCAGGAAGGCATCGTGGAGAGTCCTCCCTGCCCAGCAGTGCGCACCGGCTCTCACTCTTTCCTGGTCTCTGAGAAGAGACTGGCAGGTAAGGGGCCTGCAGGCGGGGCCTAGTGTCACGCATCCTGCCTTCATTGGCGCACGCACCTGAGAAGGTTCTGCATGGAATGGTGTCACGGGCCAGGGTCCCGCAAGCTCAGGCGGACCTACCTCAGGTACATGCCGATGGCGTATGCGCACAGGAAGGAGTAGTCCAGGGCCCCAAGCAGCTGCTGGTAGTTGTCCTGATCTGCACGGTGAAAAGTGACAGGCGGAGGTGAGTGGTGCTTAGCTGTCACTCAATGTCAGTGAGCGTTCCCCAGGGGCAACAATACACAGAACCTCTGCTCTCCGAGGAGGATGGAGAATGTGGCGGATGCGTGCTGCTGGGCTGCTTGGCAAACAGAAATACAGCCACCACATTCCAAACAACCACTAGGCAGTCCCTGTTTGTGTGGATAAACCCTCCTGCCTCAGGGTGAGCATCCATTTCTTCATTTCCTCCAGCACCCGCCTGGGCCAGCCCCGCACCAGGCCTCGGTAGTCTCTCCCTTCCACCCCCAGTCTGTGCTCTGTGCGCCTTAACTTCCCACTCTGACAAGTACGACATGCAAACCGTGGTCAGATGTCCCCACTGAGAGGATCTTTGTTCGGCGGTAACACTTCTGCACACAGGCCCCGTGACAGAGCAGCGGCTGGGGGAGTGGGACTGTGGTAGGTCAGCTCCCTGGACACAGTTACCCTCGAGGACATGAGCACTGTGCTGAATTAGCAAGGCTGGAGGAGCCGGAGGAGTGGGCCACGCCAGCGTATCCCAGCGCCCGCGGTGGAAGAACCCTCCCTGTGGGGACAGCCCACTTCAGAGCTGCAGGAACAGAGAACTCACCAAACGGGGCCCAGCCGCAGTCCGTTGCATTGTCTGGGAGCTGGGGAGAGGGGAGGGCGCTGGCTTTCTGGCTCTGGCTGTTGACTCTGACTTCAGCCTCATTCTCGGCAGCGCAGTACTTGTGGAGCTCACCCTGGGACACCCACGGAGACAGAGGCCAGAGAGAAAGGGCACTCAGCAGGGGTGCAGAGTCAGAACAGTGCCCCCCTCTTACCAGCCTTCTTAGGGGTCCTGGCTCTAGGGGAGGATGTCACTGTGGGGCAGTCGGCCTGGGGACCACAGAATGCGGGCAGGTATGGTTTCCCGGGCTCTCCCGCAGACCCGCTCCTGAGCACACAGAGCAAACACAGCATGTCCAGGGCACCAGAGAGGACTGCTCAGAGCAGCAGTGCAGCTGAACGCTGACTGCCTGTCATCCTCAGACCGCCTGCCCCGTCATCCTGGGCCACTGCCCATCATCCTTGGGCCACCTGCCCAGAATGGACCAATGGGTTCATCTCGCTAGATCTATATGGCTGGGCTAAACGCTGCGGTGATACAAGAGAATAGTATGCAACGAATAGGATACCCCCCCAAACAATAAGCCTGACACAAAGGAGCTCCAAGGGTAGGTCTCTATTTCCATTTATGATGTTCAAGGACAGGAAAATGCCTCCATGGCGACCTTGATTACCATGGCCGGGCACAAGGAGCCTTCTGGGAGTTGGCAAAGGGCCAGAGCTCGACCAGGTGATGATTTCCTGGGTGAGCATGGTGCATGGGACTCATTCACTCTGTGCTCATGTGGCTGTGTCATCATCACCAGGGCACTGCCCTAAAAATCTAGCCAAGGGTTCTGCTTTACAAATTCTAAGTAGCTATTTGCCAAATAGCTTTCCTCAGCAGACCACTGACAGGGAGTGGAGGAAAGGCTGCAGAGGGCAACAGAATTAGTCCTGGGTCAGTGTCCTGCCAACGATGAGAAAGTGAGGGAGAGACAATCGATCTGTAATGAGCTGTCTTTGGCAAAGGACAATTTCCTTGTTCCTCCTACAATAAAGAGTCAAATGCCACCCAAGTCTGTTGACAATCTATAGGCAAAATGATGGAATTCCAACAGGGTCAGAAAATTATCTTGCTTTTCCCCAAGTTATGACTGGCTATTATGTAGGCTATAAAATCTTCTTTACTCAAAGTCAAGTTTAACTGGCTATTATGTAGGCTATTATCTACTTGAATCTTCTTTACTTAAAGTCTAGTTAAATGCTAGTTTAACAGCTTCCTGCCCGCCCATCACGCAAGCAGGAACTCCGCGTTCTAAGAATAATGAAGAGTCACCACCACAGCCCAACTCAGGGTCAAAGCATGATGATCATAGAAGCGATTTGGGAACAATTTAGGATTGGATGTTTTGGAGAGAAAAGTCACACAAGAATAAATATTGAACTATACTTTAGGATTCTGAAACTGTCAACTAATATTACTGAGAGTACACTACCTTCGAAAGTATAAATCCTAAAACATTTTAAATTCAGAAAAGAGAAACTTAAAAAGCAAAGCTGCAAAATAACTTGCTTCTACATAATTCATTTTCCCCATTTACCTTCCCTGCCCCCCTCCCCCCCTTGTCAGTTGTCTCTTAAAGTGACTAGTTCCTTACAGAGATTACAGGCAGGATAAGAGACTAAGTGTTTTATGATTTCTTACCTTAACAATGCTGATAGGTTTTCGAGATAAGTGGAAACTTGCATACAGCAAAAATGTCAAAATGAAAATGAAGGTTCGATACCTGAAACACAAAACAGTGTAGGAAATGACGCCCAATAACATGAGCTGCATGAGGAATACATGGCCACTGTAACTCTTAAATTTTCTTATGCTGCATATTATTCATTCAGTCATCATCAAGTATTGAATCCTATTGATCATCCTATATAATAAAAGGCTAATATGCAAATTGACCCTAAGAGTGGAACGACTGGTCGCTATGATGTGCACTGACCACCAGGGGGCAGACACTCAATGCAGGAGCTGCCCCCTGGTGGTCAGTGTGCTCCCACAGGGGGAGTGCTGCTCAGCCAGAAGCTGGGCTCACAGCTGGAGAGTGCAGGGGGCCTAAGCCAGCAGTCAGAAATCCCCTGAGGGCCACCAAACTGCGAGAGGATGCAGGCCGGGCTGAGGGACCCCCCTGAGTGCATGAATTTCATGCACTGGGCCTTTAGTATCACTATAATATTATATTTTAAAAATGAGACTTCTGTTCGGTCCAAATTGAAACTATTTAAACATTCATTAAAAAAACCCCACTATAAATGCCCTAGCTGGTTTGGCTCAGTGGATAGAGCATCAGCTTGTGGACAAAAGAGTCCTGGGTTCGATTCTGGTCAAGAGCACATATGGTGGTTGCAGGCTCCTCCATGGCCCGGGCCCTGGTTGGGGGTGTGAAGGAGGCAATGTGTTCTTCTCACATTGATGTTTCTCTGTCTTTCCCTCTCTCTTCCAATCTCTCTAAAAGGTCAATGGAAAAATATCCTTGGGTGAGGATTAATAACAACAACAACAACAACAAAAACAACACCATAATCAAAAGAGAAATCTGGGACTCAGAAGATGAACACATGTTTACAAAGCAGACAGAAAGGAATGATTCTGTAGTCTGAAACAAAATTAACTGCAAGCTTCTTGTAAGCGGCTATCCTGGGCACTGACGATCATATTTTTTACTTTTTAGCTTCTATGCAACTTTTCCGAAGGACACAAGCAAGGCAGAGACACAAATATCTCACTGACCTCAATGAGAAAAACCGAGTGGTGCTGACAAGCTATGAATAAGGCCAATGCATAAAAATACTGGCCAAAGCCCTGCTGCTCTTTCTGGTTTATGAGAAAAGCAGTCGCAGGGTGGGGGTTGAGGGGGAGGGGGAGTGCTGAAATATATGGGCATCTAAAAAAAAAAAGATACTTTAGTAAGAAGATAAAAGTTCACTCCAGTCTAAAAATTTGAATCATGCTAGTATGGAAAAACATTCCTTAAGGGGAAAAAATACACCAGGAGGAAAAAGTATTTAGCAAGAGATAATGAGAGGGGCTCCCCCCAGGAGGGCAGGTCCTTCTGTGCCCTGAGACCCAGCCCCTCACCCTGAAGAACTCATCCTCTTTCTGGCCTGGAAAGGCCGGTGACTTTCAAGTGGAGTGATGGCTCGGAGTGCTAATTACCCAGGACAGAGGCGGGGAGATAGGAAAGAGGCAGGAGGGGCCCCAGTCCACAGAGAAGCCATGTCCACTGGCCGTGGTGGTGCTGGGACCCTCCCCCAGGCTCCATCTACAGCTGTGATTGACACCTCAAGGGCAGCTTTCCTCCAATAACACAGAATCCTAGGGATGCCTGCCTCTTTGGCCAGAAGGGGACAAATAAATATTTCTGGATTAAAAAAAAAAAAAAGGTCATATTTCAGGTGGGGAAAAAAGGTTGGCGGGACCAAGGGACTAGAACCTTTAACTGCCAGGATACCTGTGCCTTAGGGAGAGGAAAACACTCAGCAACTACTCCAGGAATGAGAAACGACATGCCCGCACGTGCCCTCTTCATCGAGGAAACACACACTGAGGGTTTTCCTAGGATCGTTCGCTCTCCAAGCCCAGGCCAAGGACCAGATAGGGAAAAAGTAAAATGACCAGAAATGAGTGCATATTTTATCCCAACGGACAAAGACTATGCAGGTACAGGGGGTTTGTCCCAAAGTCCAGGCCTTTGTCCTTATGTTTCTGAAAACCACCTGTTTGAGTCAGGAATGACATTCTCTCAGTTCTTTGCCTGAAGCTCTGTTATCCCACCTAACTCTAGGCTCCTATGTGCCTGAAGTTGCCAGCAAAGGAAGATTCTAGGCCATCGGAACTCTGTAAGCCCTCAATACCCAAATTTCCAGCCCACAGACAGATTCGCTGGCTACTTCTGTCCACACTAGATGTAAATTACAAGGGTGAGTGCAGCCTTATGGGGACCCTGACCTGCCCCCATTTGGGTACAGGGATCCCTTTTCCAATCTCCACAAGGAGTATTTTGAAAAAGTCCTCAGACTGGGTTACCTTCACAGCCCCTAAATCCGAGTATGAAGGAAGAGTCTGGTGACAGGTATGGGACCTACCAGGAGAATCTAAAGTTCATAACCACCCAGCTATGAAGGACTTTGAGAAAGTAGCTCTACTTAAATGGGCCGTGGGTTCATGCTCTCTACCCACATAGAGTATTCTATTTATAAATATTCTATTTTTATTAAACATATTCACATATTTATAAAATAGAACAAATAACCCAGAACTGAAGAGCTCCTCCATATGTTCAGACAATGTCTAAAGAGTCCTGGGACCCGAATACACCTGCATTCTCAGGTAGTCAAGATGTCTAGGGTATCGAAACGTAGTGGCAATCCTAGGGCCATTGCCCCCTTCCCTGGGCCTCCATCTCCATCCCTGGGCCCCTGCCCCTTCTCTAACAGGGCCTGGCAGCACAAAGGTGGTTCCAGGACTGGGCCTCGTTGAGGGATGCCGAGCAGAGCACATGCCCAGGGACCCTCCATGAACACGTGGCCACAGAGGAGAGCAGCATCCGTTTCCAGCTGAACTGAATGTTCAGTTCGGTTTTGGGTGGAAGTGAAATACCTTGATGACTCAGCCAGCAGGTTGCCAGGTTCCCTCCGAGGCCCTTTTTATTTCTGCGGGATCATCTTGGGTTACGGGCTAAAGTCCTAACCCTCCTCAGTCCTTTGCCACTTTGTGGTTCTACCTTCATTGTCTTTCTTCCTTTATCATTCACCAGGCAAGGATTCTGGGTGATGTTTGTTTCTCTTTATCCATCTCGTACTGATTGCACACTGCCCCCCTAAATTCATGTCCACCTAAAAGTCTCAGAATGCGACTTTATTTGCACATGTAATTAGTTAGGCTGAGGCCATACTTAACTCATGTATGACCTCAAATCCAATGAGATCCTAAGTCCAGTGACTGACATGCTTAAAAAGCCACGTGAAGACACAGAGACAGACGGACAGACAGGAAGACCCTGTGACAATGGCACAGGAGGGCAGAGGGCTGCCAGCCACTGCCAGAGGCTGGAAGAGGCAGGAAGGACTCCTCCCAGAGCCCGCAGTGGAGTGGCCCTACTGACACCTCGATCTCACACTTCTGGCCTCCGGGACGGTGAGAATACATGTCTGTTGTTTTAAGCCACCCAGTGTGTGATACTTTGTTACAGCAGCCCTAGGACACTAATACAGTCCTCTGCTTTTGTGTTCTGTGTTACATTTAGGCTTGTGAATATTAAGAAAACACAATTAAAAATGAATGATCGGATCCTTTCATTCATCAGTGTCTCACTTACTTTGTGCAGTAATGCCTGACTCCAGCATTCTCTGCATCTACCAATACTGCAGGAAGAGTGTTTGGGTTAATCCCAAGTTTCTAGCAAAAAAAGCCCATCTTGACAATGATGGCACAGGACAGGTGCACTTTCCAAGCTTCCTTAGAAATGCTCCCAGCTGAAGAGCAGCCTGCTCCATGGTAAGACTCAATGCGGAATGTGTTTCCTCCTTTGCGTGGTATTTATCTCAGTCATATGCAAATAAGGAATACACAAATGCTTTAGATGAGAGTCACTGAGCAGTCTGACTTGGCACCGAAATTAGCCCAAAGACACCCTTAATTTAGAAACAATGAAACCATACAGCTGTGATGCGAGTCCTTTTCACAGCATCCTAGGGAGGCACATGACTTCGGTGACGTCAGCCCTGATCACTTGGTTAAGGGACTGCCTGCCAGACACCCCTCCCCCCCCCCGCCCCTTAGGGAAGCTATAACCTTTCTCTCTAAGTAACTAGTAAGGAATTTGTGGGAACACACTTTGAGATTAAGTAAATAAGCTCTTCCTCCAACTTTCCCCCAAGACTGTGCGTCCCTTGGTGATGCTCGCCTAAACGAAGCATTGCCAGTGGTGACAGACTGGCTGTCCAGGTTACGGACACTCCCGAGTCCTTAGGAGCTGCCCTTCTGCTGTGGGGAAGGGCTTTCCTTCCTCCCGCTTACCCACTTACTGAATTATAGCCGCGTGGACTCACTGGATTCCAATGATATTCAAAGGCTATAATCCATTACTAGTATCATTTATTTTAAATATCAACTCATCTCAGACTTGGCAGCGAGAGCCCTTTTGTTCTTAAGCACACCCTTATTTTCTGGCATGAGATATTCCTGGCTCCCCTTACTTCCCCTGCCCCAGAGCTGACATAGCCCAGTTTCCGAAGATGTCCAGCTCCTTCCATGGGAAACGGCACATAGACACCAAGATCTGGCACCAGGGGTGCTCAGTGCTGTAGTGTGTTGCTGTTCCCAGGGCCTTTGGTGGGCAGGGATAGGACATTTTACACACACACACACACACACACACACACACACACACACACCACGTACACACACAGAGGCATACATATCTAGTTCTCCCCTGCCTTCTCACCAGTTCCTCTTAATTCCTATCCAATACCACACGATTCATTCAGTCCCTCCCTGCCCATATTTTTAACTCCTTCGCCATCAGTGAGCAGCTGTTTCCCTTCTGTGGTGTTCTTGACAAAATCTGAATCTAATCAGGAGGAAATACTAGATACATACCAAACAAAAGACAGTCTATTAAAAAAAAGGCTTGTACCTTTCAGAAATGTCAAGGTCATAAAAGACAAAGAAAGGCCAAGAAACAGTCCAGATGAAAGGAGATTAAACTTACAGGACAGCTAAATGCAGTGTGCAGCCCTGGACTGCATCCTGGGCCAAGAAGAAAGCTATAAAGACATTATTGGACATCTGGTAGGATTTTGAATATGGACTATGGATTAGATGATAGAACCTAATTGGTGTTAAATTTCCTGATTTTGATCTGTGTGTGTAGCTATATGAGAATGTCTTGTTTAGAGGAAATACTTGCTGATGTATTTAGAAATAAAACAACATAATGTCTGTAACTTACTCTCAAATGTTCATAAGGCATTTTACACACACACACACACACACACACACACACACGCACGCACATGCACGTAGAAGCAAAAAACACCAGTGCTTTGGATTTGTTTGCAGGTGGAGCCCAGGCCTCAAAGCTGCCCTAGGTCGCTGTACTTGAGATTCAAAGCCCAGGAGAGAGACCTGTAGTCCCACTCCACACCCCTGCCCCTGATTCCGCCCTGCCTCCTGCTGCACCTGCACTGTGCGCTGTTCGAGGAAGGTCCTGGGAACAAGGCCTCGGCCTTGAGGGCCTTCACTGGTTTCCGTAAGATGGAAAGTCCTGAGACTCACCTGCCTATCCCAACTGCACACAAAGGAGGGATGTCAAAGTGAAGCTAGAAAGGGGCAGGTGTGCTGGGTAGAAACACATAGAAAATGTCCTTCGTAGGAATGTTAAAGCCAGTCTCTCTAGGGTTGCTAAGTCTCAGCTAAAAATAACTTTTAAAGGTCAAAGAGCAAGTTGGAGGCAGAGATGGAAGAGAACTGAGACAAATACTCTGTACCCTTGCTACCCAAAGTGTGGCCAATGGACTGAGGGCACATCGCCTGGGAGATGCAGACTCTCAGGCCCCCCCCCCCCCCCCCCCCCGCCGGACCTATGAGTCAGAACCTGCATTTTAACAAGTTCTCTGGGTGATTCACATGCTCACTAAAGTTTGAGAAGCACTGCTCTATCTTTGTAGGGCTCACCCATAAAAAAAAAAATAAGAATCTGTAATACACAGGAGTTCTTTGTAACATTCTTTTAATTTTCTTCTGTGAGTTTGAAAATTATATCAAAATAAAGTTATAAAACCAAGAAGCTAAACTCCCCCCAAACAAAAGGTCAGTGTTGGAGCACTTGTGGCTAGATTTGCAGTAGGCATGAAATGAGTCAATGAGGGGACTGCTCTGGAAAGAATGACATGTCTGAAGTCCCACCTGACACCCAGCAGAGGCCTGAGAAGATGCAAAGGGTGTGGAGGCCACAGATGGGTTGTCGTGATGAGATGAAGGGGTCCAGAATACGCCACTAGGGCATAAAAGTATTTTGAGGGGAAAGCATTTGCGGTCCTGAAATCTCTTATCTGTCTAAAAGCAGAGCCCCCGAAAGAACTCAACTGTCCCAAGTCCCTCCCTGGGAGGACACAGGGGAGACCGACTCATTTCTGAAAGTGAGAAGTGTCCACATCACACCCACAGACACTACCAACATTATCATCTCTCCCGTCTATTCTCCTAAGGTCCACGTACATTTCCAAAAAGTCATCTGCTTTCCCATCAGTGCCCCTGTCCTCCTCCTCTCCCCCCATTAATGTGGCATATTAGCCCCAAATTCTAATACCTCTTGGAGTCACATTTTTCTATAAACTCCTATATATATGTGATTGTTTCTTTTCTCTTGTGAATCTTTTTGTCAGTTTTATTTGCATGCTCCCAATTACGGAACCAAAGAGGGTAGAGGAAAACTTTTCCTTCCCAAATAAGATCAGGAGGGGAGACACCACTGAGACTGTGGGTTAGAGGCCAGAGAGCCCAGCTCTAGACTCTGCCCTCACCATCGGCTTCCTCCAAGGGGCACGGAATTCATGACCACTCCCGCCCTTCCCGGAAAAGGATTCTCAGAGCACACAAGCAGGGTGTCTCGGAAGAGAAAGTTGCCTTCTGGTCAGCATCTAACTTGTTAAGATTTCACTTTCTCTCTGGGAGCTCTGCCCCAGTTAGGCCACTCATTGAGCTCAGAGTTCATATACTTCTTTCACTCACAGGCATGTTATAACCCTGTCAGTGGTCGGCGGTCATTTTTCTGTGGGAGCTGTGATTATTACAGAACCCACTGAAGACCATGAAGGAGTCCACATGCTACCTGTCAGCGCCAGAGCCAAAGACGGAGGACAATGGCAACGTTCCTCACAGCTTCCACCACCGCTCAGTGACTCCATGGTTACAGGGAGGACAGCATCCCTGTGCATTTTATCATGAACCCGGGGAGAGCCGGCTGCACAGTGGCCCTCGCCCACACTCAGGGCCATGCTGGGGCCAGAGCCGCCAGGACTTACCACTGGTCCCGGGAGAATGAGATGATGAAGCGAATGCCGGCAGGGAGTCGAGCCATTTACACGTGGACCTCAGAGCTTTGGCCACGAAATCAGACGCTTCATAAAGAGGTTAGTAGTCCTGGCTCCCAGTCTCTCTCGTCTCTGCACTCGCACAGGCTGGGAAGGAAGCGGAGATGTCCTGTTCGGCTTGAGCCCCCTCCTCCTTTATGCAGAGGCTTAGGTCTCTACAATGAGAAAGAGGAGTTGAAAAGTCAGGGGTGCTGACAATGGCACCCTGGAGTCCCGGGCAGGAGAAACTCCCCATACAGTTGTTAGCCAGCACAGATCAAAGCTGGCCTTCCCGGGTGATGGGAATGCCCACCGCCAGGGCCACTAGGTGGCAGCACAGCGTCTGCCTCGGGAGGGGGCGGGGCTTGTTCAGAGATCACTGAACTGAATTTCACATGATGTTCTGATGATATAAAAAGAACCACTGAGTTCATCTCTATCTGGAAGGCATCTAGAGATCAACCCATTCAACCTTAATCACAATACTCTACAGAATATTGACATTCACGTGAACCCAGTATGCGCCCAGTGGTTACAGAGCAGGCCAGGGAACCGGACGTGTTCCATTCCACCCACGCTGGACCTGGCCACAGCTAAGCCACAATAACAGAGGGGAATGTGGCCTGGACAGGATGGCAGGCCATCAAACCAATCATTTAATTGTGGCTTTGCAACTGAATCAAAATGCATCTAAAGCTGAGGGAATGAACTTCACCTCTTAGCTGCCTCTCTGTTTCTCCTGAGGCCACCTCAGAGGCCATGGGAAATGACCCCATTCTGAAGGCAGAGCTGAAGGCAGAAAGGAATGCGTAGGGGTGCCCCCCAAACCGAAAAGGGGCCCCAGCACACCAGGCAGGTCTCCTGTCCCAGAGCCATGGCTTGTCGCAGTTTTCATTCTTTTACACTTGGAAACAAGGAGCCTTTGGACCAATGTGTTAAATAACACAATTCCCAGGGTATACAGAGCATGGGCCGTTCTGTCTTACACTCACTGAAAAATCACAGGTTATATAATTTTTAAAAAGAAAGCTACTTTTGAGTAAACACTAATCTTGATTTAAAGAAGCTGATATTTATTTAATGTCTTCAAAACATTTCCTTGGGGTAACAGACAAATAACAGCAAACAGTTCAGATCTGGAGGACTTACACTTAGATTCATAAGTGCCTGTCTTTTCAGTTAGACCCATTCCCTGCGTTCATTCCGGCCATCACTAAATCAACCAACCAACCTCAACTCAATTCTGGTCAAACCTGTAACAGCAGCAACAATCCAGATGGTGCTGGAAAAGCAGTGGGAAGAAAAGCTTCCTTTCTTTTAAAATTGTGCGGGCTCTTCCTCCTGTAAACCAGGTGAGAGCAAGTGCTACAGCCTTCATGGTAAGTGCAATCAGGGCACGTGAAGACGGTGAGTTTACATGTGGGGTGTTAAGAGCTCAGTGTCATTCCAGGGAGGGGTCGATGGGGGAAAAGGAGACCTATGTAATTCTTTAAACAATTAAAGAAAAAGAGCTCAGTGTCATGAGTCCTCTTCCTCCAAAGCGCGAGCAGTGCCCTCAGCAAATCATTCCACTGAGTGCAGGCGGGACCTCGAGGCCTCCGTAGGTGAGCCCACGGCCATTCCGAGGAAGAGGCAGCCTGTGCTCACCCCAGAGGAACAATGAGGCCAGCTGCTAGACCAAGTGGGCCCAAATCTGGTCAGTCCAGTTTCCCTCAGTCCCCTCCCCCTCCACCTCACTTCCTGCGGCCCAGCCCCTTCAAGGAGAGGGCAGCAGAACTGGGAATCATTTGACTTGACCTGTTGTGGGCACAGGGCCCAAGCACATCAGAGGGCTTTTTGAAAAATGGCTCTCACTGGGCGCCCCTGGACCTCACCACCACAACAGGGAAAAGTGTCAGAATATCGGTTTCATTCTGTGGTCAGAGAGCAGCTTGGGAAACACCCATTAGAGCATCTTTATGAAAATGTGCAAAACACACGTTTTTCTACTTGTCTTCCCAACAGCCCAACTAGTCAACCATTAGGAATGGCCCGAGGGAAGTTAGCATGGGGGGGGGGGCACCCGCAGACTCCCCCTTGGTGATCCGTGCAGCCAGAGCAGAGCCCTGTGCTCTCCGGAGAAGAAAACAGTGAGACTCCAAAGTAAAGGCCAGAGTAAGGTGGAAGGTCTTCCCAGAGCTGCAGCGCGGCTGTGGGTACTCAAACCAGCCCACGGGTGTTTGAAAGGGCCCATTAAAGACACACTTTCTCCAGTGGATCTTATTTTAAGGCAAAGGTGGGTGAGAACTGCATGTCCCCCCAAAACGTGTTCTGAGAGAGGAACAACTTCCTTTCCAGAAAACACTTTCTGTGGTTTGTGCTTTAAAGGCTCTGCTCCAGGTGAACTATGAATGACAATGGCCCTAGCGCTTCCCTGAGGCTTAAATACAAAAGCGCACCCTCTCCTCCCCTAGGACCAAGGCCAGTGCAGGCCCAGCAGGTGCGAGGAGCCAGGGCTTGGGGCAGCCGGCAAGCTGGATCTAAGGGAGTTTAAGGAGCGAGCAACGGGGGTAAATCTGGGCTAGTTGCCCACGCAAACCACCTCACACAATTTAAGTTCAAGGTCAGGCGAGCTTTCCGGGTAGTGAGCCCCGCAGAATAAAGGAAAGACAGGCTTAGGGTTCAGCCTTTAGAAGACTTTCCAGAGTCCTCCATTCAAATGCGTCTCCAGTCGCCTGCTGAGGCAGCTTGAAGCTGGGAGAAAGGAAACCGGCGCGCGGCGGTGGCCGGCGGCTGGGCACTTTCTGGCGCCTCGCGCCCTACAAATACAGAAGGCGCTGTCGCCCGTGTTGGCTGGGAGACTCACGGGCTCGGAACCAGCCGCTCAACAAACAACCCGAAGGCCCGGGTGCTGACGCGGAGCCTCCAGGCGGCTTTCCGAGCGGCTCGTTCCGGTGCCGGTCCCGGCGCAGGTGGACCCGGCGGGCACGCCCACGTCCCCACAGCGCGGCGGACAATGCGCGGGCCTCCCCCGGCCCTATCCCAGGGCACCGGCTGTTGACTGTTATCACGGCCGGGGCGGGTGGGAAGGCACCCGGCGACAGCTCGTGCCATTCCTGCCCGGGGACCAGCGCGCGGCTCTGGCCCAGCCCGGCGCCCTCGCGTCCACTTGCCTGGATGCCGGCTCCGCGCAGCCCGGGACGCCGGCAGGGGCGCCGCCGCGCCTCGGGACCCCTTATTCCAAAGGCCTCGGAGAACGAGATCGCCCGGCCCGGCCACGGACCAGCACAAAGACGGGCGGAGGGGGAGCCGGGCGCAGGGACTGGGTCCCACGGGCGCGGCGCCCCCACAGCGCGGGCAGCGGGCGCCCCTGCCCACGGCGTCCCCGCCTGTCGCCCGTGGCGGCAGGTGCAGCGCGGCCGCGGCCCCGCAGGTGCAGGCGGCGAGGAGGGTCCCCGCGTGGATCGATCGCAGCCCCCGCGCCTCACCTGCGCCGCCGGGCCCGCTCCGCAGCCGGCCGGCTCCCGGAGCTTCCTGCTCGCGACTTCCTGGGGCGGTGCGAGGCCCTGCGGCCCTTTCGCTTTCCTGCGGCCGCGGGCGCGGCGGGCGGTGGCAGCGGCTCGGCCCCTCCCCTTTCCTCCAGTCCCTGCCTGGTCCTCCCCAGGCCTCGGGGCGGCCCGGGATCCCAAACAGCCCTGGGGGTGCCCGGGCCGGTTGTGGCCATCCCCACCCCTCACGCTCCGGATTCTTGGGGCCTCCTGTGTCCTTGCACCTGGCATTTCTCCACTGGCCACCGGGAGCTTCCCAAAGGCCCTGTGTCCGTAAGGTAGGTCTGACCTAATGGCCGCGAAGCCAGGACCAGCCAAAGGGGGCCGCCTGGGCCTCCCAGCCTTTCCGTCCGCTGCCCCTTCTCAGGGGTCAGAACCATGAAGCTGGCGCTCTACTAAGTGCACATGGGGCCACAGCCAGGCTGTGTTGAACCATCTTCCATCACACCTGTACACGCGTGGCATGCAGCTCACACGGCTGTTCTGGACTCCAGCCTGGCCCCAGTCACTTGCACTGACACCCACCATTGCTGGGGCCTCACAGACAGTTCCCACGTCAACCCAGTATCAGCCCAGGAACACCTTTCCGAATTCCACTCTCGCTTCTTGCCAAACATTGACCTTGGGCAGCCCTGAGCAGGTCTGGATCATAGATGAGCCTGGGGGTTCCCACAGAGCACTCCCAGCACACACTGCGTCCAACACAGCCAGGTCCCAGCTCCCAGGGAGGGCAAAGAGAGGCAGAAAAACACCTTGCCACAAAATTCCTGAAAGACTGCCCCTAATTAAAACAATCCTTAAGGCTAGAACCCACCAAGGCCAGGCTGTAAGTGCTCCAAAAGGTCTGTATGAACAGTGCCCTCGACCTCGAGGCACACTGCCCTGCCCAGCACCCCTTAGGCAGGCCTCCTCCCTGCCAGGCCTTATAGGCCCCTCCCCCCTTTCCAGAGCACCCTTATACCTTTTCCTGTTGGTTGAGCTGGGTCATGTCAAATGCACCCCTTCTTTATGCTTTTGAGAAGTGTTTATGCAGAAAGGAAACCTGCCGGCCTCATTATGGCCCCAAGGTACAGCAACAGGGTGCCTCCTACCCTAGCCCAGGGCCTCTGGACTTCTCTCTCTCTCTTTGGCAAGGACTCTTTCTGTGGAATTCCTCTCTCGGCCAATTCCTTCTCCTCCTTCGCCTAACGCTCTATTCCTGGGGATGCCCAAACCAGCCCAGTCTGCTTCCATCTGGCTCACACCACAGTCTGCTCAGGGCTCCTCCGCTCTCCCGGAACCTGGGCATCAGCCTCCCCACTTCCAAGCTCTCCCTCAGGCAGAGCTTTCCCAGCTGCCTCCAGTTGCTGTCCTGAAGCAGGTCGGATTCTGTCATTCCTGGACACCCTTCAGGATCCCTGTCGCCTGCAGGAAGGAGAGCACATTCTTTAGTACCTGGAAAGCAAGGCCTGAGCTCATGTTTGCAGCCTCCTGCCCAAACCTTCTGGATGGCTCTGCAGTTTCCAAGACAAGTGCTTTCTCACGTGTCGGTGTTTCTGTCTTGGCCCTTCCCACCCCAGCCTTTCCTAGTGAGCACGAACTCTGAGGCAGGTCAGCATTCTGTTCTCTCCAGCCATCTTCACTGCACTTCCGGGCACTGTGGACCCTCTTCATCCTCACTTATCACGTGAGCCGGGACTAGTTCCTTCTAAATCTATCTTGGGGGTCAGAGAGATTCCCCAGGTTGTGCACTGACTTGGAGGACACTGTTCCATGTTTGCAAACTGTACGAATGAATGCAGTGTGGACAGTACAGGGCATCCTGATGTTTTTCACATAGAAAATATCTGTATGGCACGCTGGGCAAACCAGAGGGGACCTGCCTGGATGGTCCAGATCATATTTGCTAATTGGAAAGATTAATCTTCTAATTTTATAAAGATTAAGACTTAGTTATTTAGCAAATATTAATCTTTTATAGGATTATAAGAAATACTTAAAACATGCATTAGAGGATTCAGTAAGTTTGTGTGAGACTCCCACATAGAAGTTCCCATTCTGAAATGAAAGCTTGTGATTGGTCTGACGAACATCCAGGCTTTATGTTGACATGGCTGCACACAAGCTCAGGACAGAGCAGGCAGCTGGGACATCACTATTGAGACGTTTCTTCTTGCAGGTAGCTAACATTGAAGCCGTTATTTACAATCACACAAATTTTACAACAGTTGAACTGATATTTAAAGAATCGACAACTCTCCCTTTTCTTTCATTGATGTATAATATTGACATTTCTGGTGAGAATCGACTGAATTTCCAATCCAGTTGGATTTTTCAGATCCAGTATTTCAAAATCATGACCAAGTGTGCCAGGCCAGCCGCGGGCTGCCCTCGGGCTGCTGTTGACACTGTGGTGGCCAGGGTTCCAGGTGCCCAGACTCCGGGGTGCCAACTGAGCACACTGCCTTGGCAGGGCCCTGCCTTAACCCAAACGTTCATGCTTGCTTTGCATTTGTTTTGATTTTATTTCAGTACGAGAGGAGCACTAAATGAGAGGTTTGTTCACTCTTACCCAACAGGGGTTAATTGCGTGCCCAAAGAGGCCAGCCCTGTGCCAGCGCCGAGACCTCAGGTCAACAAGGGGTCTTTGCCTTTGCAGAGTTCATAGAGCAAAAGCCCAGGTGGCAAGAACAGGGAGGCGGATGTGAGGGTGAAGGGAAGGGTTTATACTCATCCCCTAGGGCTGCCCTAACCAAGTACCCCACACTGGCCAGCCAGACATCTGAGAGAAAGTGCTGGCAGGGCCATGACCCCTCCAGAGGCTCCAGGCCACAATCTGCCCGCCCCTTTCTCTTAGCCTCTGGTGTTGCTGGCTCTCCCGGTGTTTCTTAGCTTGTAGCTGCATCACTCCAGTCCGCCTCTGTCGTCACAGGGTGTCTTCCTGTGTGTCTGCTCATAGCATCTTCCTTCTGTGTGTCTGTGTGTCTGTGTGTCTGTGTGTCTCCTCTCCTAAGGACACCAGTCATATTGGATTTCGGGGCCACCCTCCTCCGGTAGAGCTTCAACTGAACTAGTTACATCTGCAACTACCCTAGTTCCACATAAGGTCCCATTCTGAGGTTCCAGGAAGGAAATGACATTTTTTGGGGGGGAGGGGGGGGGTCACTATTTAACCCAACACTGGGCTATTACATAAGGGGAAATGAGTGAAAAATGCATCCCCAGGCTGGCAACATCAGGAAGCTGTTAGCACCCTAAGCCTGAAGAAGGAGAGAGCTGGGGCTGCAGAAGAAACTGCTAGACAAGAGGAGGGGCTTGGGGAGGGAATGCGGCCCCTGTGAATGTACAGCCCAGCCGGGAAGAAGCAAGAACAAACAGCCCACTCTCCTTTCCTCCTACTTCCCACCGACCAACCCAGGCATGGAGGCCAAGAGCCCCACTGATGCCCCTCCCCTCAAATGAAGGCAGTAGACAGGCAACCAGCAATCCCAACACTGCTACACATTATAATAGAGGACACACCACGGGGTGCAAGAGGGGGTCACCTCACCCAGACTAAATGGTCACAGGTGGTCACATCTCTGCAGCAGAGGAGGAGTTGGCCAAGAGCACAATGCAAGCTGCAAGCTGGTTTGGGGAGCGGCGATGGTGCAAATAATATGGAGAGGGGAGGAGAGCTCCTGTGGCAATCCAGGCCTGAGTTATGGTTGTTGGGAGTCCAGAAAGGTCTAGAAGGTGAGAGAAAGGAGGCAAGGGAAAGAGAGGAGCCGGGATGACACTCAGATGTCTGGCCTGGGCGGCTGAGTGGGTGGTAGAGTCTTCATGGAGAGAGGGAACATACAGATTATACACAGACTTGGGGTGAGACTGGGCTAGGAGTTTACTTGTACTTATTGAGCATTTGGTTCCTGGGGGATTTCTCAGTGGAGATGGTGACCAGCGTTGGATTTGTGGGTCTGGAGTCTCTGGAAGAAGCCTAGGCTGGCAAGGGAGGCCTGGTATTGACAGTAACCGACAGCATGAGACTAGACTGAATCCCCAGGGGGGCTAATATTTCAGGGCCAGGCAGGGAGGTGGGGGGGCAGAACTATGGATGGAAGGTGGGAAAAGCCAGGAGAGTGTGATGTCCAGGAAGCACAAGGAAGGCAGTGTTTCCAGAATGAGAGAGAGTGGGATGCTGCAAAGAAGCCAGGTCTACTGGCTTCACCCAGAAGATCGTGGCTGATGCTTCCATGAAGGTAGGGTGGGCGGCAGCTGCTGTGGGGATTGAGTGGGCGTGGGGAAGAAGAGGCAGCAGGGAGCAGACAGCGTTTCAGGAGAGGAGGAGAGAGAAGGGCCCAAGGCTGGAGAGGGACTGGGGGAGGAGGAAGGATATTTTTTAAATGTAGGGATGTTTGCGAGCATATACAGAAGTCGGGAGAACACTACAGTAAAGCCCACGTACCCAATACCCAGCTGCATCAATGACCAATGCATAGCCAACCTTCTTTCCTTTCTGTTTCGACCCACTTCCTTCTCCCCAGGAATATTTTGCAGCAAATTCCAGACATTCTATTTCATTTGTAAAGTTTCAATGTGGATCTCTAAAAGATATGGTTTTAAACATAACCACAATACCATCATCAGGGCTCCCCCAACAAGAACAGTTCCAGAATGGCATCCAGTACCCAGCCCATGTTCTCACTTCCCTGACTGTCCTGAAACTGGCCCGCAGTTTTGTTTGTCTTTCAGTGGGGATCCAAACAACCCACACGTGTATGGCTTGTGTCTCCTAGGTCTCCCCTCTGTAGATTTCCCCAGCACCCCTCTCTCTCTCTCTCTCTCTCTCTCTCTCTCTCTCTCTCTCTACCCCAGCAATGTGTTGCCGTCATTGTTATAGAGGCCAGGCCACTCGTCATGCAGTCTCCCTCACTCTGCTTGTGCTGATGCTGTCTTCATGATTCGGTCTAACATGTTTTTCCTGAAATTGACAATGAGAGCTAGAGGCTCAATCAGACTTGGGTAGATTCAATGCAAGCACATGGCATCTGGTCAGCTTTCTGGTCTTAGATGTTCCTTGTCTAGGTTCATTAATTCATCAGAAGTCAGA